TGGCGGCCATTGTGCCTCTGCATGAGCAGTGTATGGGGCATAGCGCGGAACATGTAGATGCTGATGTACATGAAACTCTACATAAATGAGTAGGTTAATGGTGTACGCTTGATGGTAGGGCACCTTGAAAATGTATTGCTTTAGTCAGTGTTACAAGACAAATGTATAGCTGACATATGAATAGATATTAACGCATTTCCTACCTGCCTATCAAATGGATATCTTGCTACCGCGTTATCCGCAGCAAGGAGTTAGACAACCTCATTTGGCCCCTAAGGCACGATTCCGGTAGTATAAATATTCATTCGTTAGATATTAGATGGAAAAAGACCGAACCGTCACTGATTTGTCACTTCAGCAACACGGCTATAGTAATCATATCCGGTATAGTTCGCAGAGTGTCTCTGTGTCCGGCCCATTAAGAGATCAAGGACTCCATCATGGCAATGTTCTCCCCCATGACAGGATCTACTGACTGTCCTTTAAGTGCTCTTTGTATACCTTTGAGAATACTGACGATTCCCAAGGCCCCGGGATCGGGAATGCCACCATTCTCCACAAAACGGTCTCTTTCAGCGTAGCTGGCTCTTCCAAGGGAGGCTTCCATCATACTATACCCTCAAACCCAAACCGCGGCGCCAGCGATTTTGTCACGAAGAGCACGCCTGCAAGACCTCTTCGGCCGACAGCAGAACTTCCCATGACCGAGACGTCATCACCGACCAAGACGACATCGATCCCGAGCCCTTGAGCTGTGGCCTTTTGAACAGCCAAGCCAAAGTTCAGCTTGTCGCCCGTGTACTTTTTGACGATCATCAAAGCTCTGCAACGCTGTTAGCAGTTGCTGCGAATGGAACCAGGCGCAATTGTTCGTGACCGCGAGGGGCTTCTAGCACTCTCAGCCCCTTCAAATCTTGGGATGCGGAGGGAGATGCAAAGATGTTGCCGTGGCCGGCAAAATCGAGCATTCCCTCCCCCACGCAACCAGTATGGGCGGGCTAGCCACCACCGTTGAGCAGAATCACCTTATCATGGCCTTGGGGAAGTTTCCTGTATACGACTGTCAATAATACATTAGCCATACTACTTCAGGTTTGGGAGAGGTGTTCCTTTCGCGACGTCAGAACCTGGATTGTATTCTCTCAGTTACATGACAGTGGATGAGTGGAAGTTTTCCATATGCACGAAAATGGAAGGCATAAGCGCACGCCAAGATAATGATCATCTGACAGCAGTACCGCGCGAGTGTTTCCATTTTCCGGTCACGAAAGTTTACTTTTCGCTTATTCTATTCCGGAAATTTCAAGCGTTGAGGTATTTTCAGTTCCTTGTGGCGGAATTGAGTTCTGCGCCTGTGGCAATCTGACGGAGATTTGCTCGCCTAGCTAAAATGGAGATATGCCATTTACCCCATATTACGTCTCCCCCATGATTGGGAAATTGAACACGGGGTACAGAAGCCATACTCCGACCAAATACGGCATTCGAAAAGATACATAAGCCGTCACGATTCTTCAACATTCCCTCTGTTCTCCATCCAGGTTGAGGCCGTGGTTGTCGGTCACTCTTGCTCTATCACTTCACTTCATTCAATCATGACCTTCTTGATCGGGACTCCCCTTAACTGGGCCATTACGGCTACAGCGGGCTCGGGCTTCCTTCTGTTCGGATATGACCAGGGGGTGATGTCCGGGCTTCTGACCGGCCACGCTTTTACCCGCGTATTCCCTGAGATCGATACCACTAAGCACGGCTCTGGGAGTGCGTCCCTTCAGGGGACCGTGGTCGCGATCTATGAAATCGGTTGCTTCTTTGGTGCCATTATTTGCATGTTTCTTGGAGAACGACTTGGCCGCCGAAAGTGTATTGCGATCGGGTCGATCGTGCTGAGCATCGGAGCGGCTCTCCAAGCCAGCGCGTACGGCATCCCTCAAATGATAACTGGCCGGATTATCGCCGGCCTGGGAAACGGGATGAACACGAGCACAATTCGTGAGTGACTCTCGAGTAATCCAATGATTTTTTCTTCAATGATAGTCTCTGAATCAAGTCTCGGCAGCTGTTTGGCATTCCGAGCTGATGAAGGCCAGCAATCGTGGCAAGGGGCTTTGCATTGAGCTGGCCATCAATATCTTCGGAGTCATGCTTTCGTACTGGGTGGACTACGCGATGAGCTACGTCTCAAACGATGCTCAGTTTCGTTTCCCGCTGGCGCTGCAAATACTGTTCGCCATAGTCACTTTTGCCGGAATCTGTATAGTTCCAGAGTCACCGAGATGGCTAATTGCCCATGACCGTCATGATGAAGCACGACATGTCCTGTGGGCTGTTGAGAAAAATGCACCGACTCTTGATATCAACGATCCGGTACTGGCGAGCGAACTGGCGGAAATTCAGCAGGCAATCAAGGAAGAGCGTGAAGCTTCCTCCAGAGGAAGTTGGAGGATGATGTTAGAAAATGGAGAACAGAAATTTCTTTACCGAACCATTCTTGGGATCGGTGGGCAATTCATGCAGCAAATTTCTGGCATCAACCTCATCACCTATGTGAGCACTCCCTCCTTCCCTTCATCTTGACTAATACGGGCCCGATCTGACAGTCTTCCAGTACGCACCGGTTATCTTTGAGAATTCGGTCGGGATGTCTCATAATCTCTCCCTTCTCCTGGCGGGCTTCAATGGTGTCGCCTACTTTCTTTCATCCTTGGTCCCGATTTGGATCATTGATCGCTTGGGCCGCCGGAAACTCATGCTCTTCGCCGCTACCGGGCAGTGTGCATGTATGGCTATCCTTGCAGGCACCGTATCTGATGGCGGAATGTCCGCGGGGATCGTTGCTGTCGTAATGCTCTTCCTCTTCAACTTCTTCTTCGCCGTCGGCCTGCTTGCAATCCCCTGGCTCTGTGAGTGTTTCCCTGTCTGATCATCCTTGGTTATCCTTCGTGCTTATGGACATATCAAAGTGCCTGCCGAGTACGCCCCTCTTGCCATTCGCACACGCGCAGCCGCGCTCGCCACGGCATCCAACTGGATATTCACCTTCCTTGTGGTGGAAATCACACCGGTCAGCATCAAAAGCATTGGATGGCGCACATACATCTATTTCAGTGTCTTCAATTTCTGCTTTATTCCTCTGATCTACTTCTTCTACCCTGAAACACGGAATCTCTCGCTGGAGCACATCGACCGGCTGTTTACGGGTGAAAAGATTCTTCTTCACTTGCCTCAGAGCATGCTGGCTGATGCTGAGGATGCTGTTGCGCCCGGCACAGACAACAGTGAAGGGAAGGGCGTCGACTTACGTGAGGTTGAGAACGTCAAATTGGGGTGATCGTTAACATCAATACTGTATTCTTTCATACTAGTTTTGGCCATCAAATATTGATATGTTTATACCAGTATGGACCAGGATGGTTCCGGAAGAGATATACTATAATTATATTTGCAGCACACGCAGAGCTAGTAGCTGATAAGGCTTGTTGGAATCTGCTTCATAGATATGGATACGGTACACAGAATTGCCCTCTCTAACACCCCGCCTCCTACATTTTTCTTGAATGAGCCAAAAACCAAATTGTGAACTCTGCAGATTTGACTAGCATCCCGATGATCTTTACAGTTTCGTCTAAAGCCCTGATGGGTAAGCAAGACTCATACCCTCCTCCCCTCCCCACCCCAACTCCCTGGGGGGTCTCACATGTTGAAAATCCGGACCGTCAACCCTGGGTGGACATGATTGCTACTCTGGTGAATGAGTTGGTCATTCCTATGCGAAATATTGTTGTCTTTGAGAGTGGTGGGACCGTATGTGCAGCTTTGCCGGGGATGAAGCGGCGCATCCCGCGAAACGAGTAAACGCCTTTTTGGAGGAGCACTTTATCTGCATGGCGTATGGAGGATTGGTTCTCGATACACAGCACATAGCCAAGATTACGGCACGATTCAGGGCCTTAAATGCGGTAGATCCTGGCATGGTCAAGCTGTTCGTCCAGTATTGGCACAAACTGGATTTATGGACTAGTTTCTTTCTATTAAAGCTAGTACTTGGCTCGCTATTAGTGATAAGGTCACTTTTGGCTAACGATAACTCACCTAAATAATAGGACTGTTTCTCTTCGTATATACCGGAAAGACCTGCCCTTCGTTTCGTCTTTCTCGCGACTGGGACGCTGTTCCCCGCGCCTCTCGGTATTTGTTCAAAGCTCAAGCCAAGCAATTGCGAACCTGAAAATGAGATGGGTGTTATTTTGATATTCGACCACTTAACGCTAGTAGCCTTGGACTCGTCGATTCTCCAGGATCGATCTCATCTACAACATCAGATCCCGCTCTCGACGAGCAGTTGAAAGTGATCGACCTTCTGGAGGAATTATATTCGCGCATTATCGCGGTCTTGCAGGGTTCGGTCAACGAGCAAGGTTTTCCAGCTGATTCCCGCATTCAAGCCAATTTTGAAGAGGCTGCGCTGCAGTCCTGGCCGGCTATGCTCCCTCAGGACTTCGCTACCTTGCTACAGGCTACGGATCGAACTGAGCCTATCTGGAGACATTCCCTGGTCATTCTCGCGCATTTCTATGTTGTCAATACCTCAGTTAACCGCTGGTATATTAACGGTTGCTTTGACGCCGGAAATGTCAAAATTCATAGGCTCACACATGTTTCGGGTGGCACTCAGTTGGCTGAACTCATGATGCGGCCTCTAAGAGTTGTGAACTCATGACTCTATGCTAAGGAACGCCTTATCTGCTTCAGATGGGTCATCAGATCTATAGGTAGAGTCTTCTTCCGTAGATGCGGCGGATTGCAGCCGTCAACTATGCTTCCGTGGTCGACGATCTACACTCTCCCGGACAAGATCACTACTATAGCCTTGCCTGTACTGATGGTTGACAATTTGAATCGAATCGAGTGGCGAATGACTGCCCCTCATCTGCTCATATTACTAACGGTATTCGGTAGTCCTCGAATTATCTCATCCTAGTTTGCACTGTTGACAACTGCTATAACTTGCCCCTCAGCCTTCGCTTCTCTTCCAGCGCCGCCGTCACTAACTCTCGCACCTTCAAAGCCACACCATAGCTGTATGTATATCCGAGAGTGTTGAAACCGTATGCATGGATGACACCACCTTCCCGTTCAAGTCGATATCCCCCTTTTCTACTCGGCCGAAAGCCCACCAAGTCTTTCACGACGTGCTTGTTCAGATCAACCGACCCGAAGCGACCACGAGTAACCAGATTCATTCGTCGAAGTATGTCTGTACGGGTTGCGAGATTTACTCTCTCATCTGTGTCTCCCTCTTGGCTAACTCCACCAATAATAACGCCTCCACTATACATACGTGGTATCTGATAGGTGTAGTGGGAGCCTTGGAACATCACCATTTCATGGGAGCAACTTTCAACCAACATGGTCTGGCCGCGGACTGCAATCACTTTTTCATCGTTGGCAAGGTGACGAGCTCCCAAGCCAGATGCATTGACTATGATCTCCGTCTTTAATAATGACCGAGCGTGGTCTATGGATGCGACCTCGGCACGAATGAACTTCACTCCCCTTCTATCGAGAAGTGCCTTAATCCAGGGCAGGAATACTGCTGGGTTGACCGCCATCGATTGATACTGAAACCCAAGCTTGGCATTGGCGGGGAGTTCCTCTGATGGCAAACGGCGATATTTTGGGACCATTCTCTTGTACCAAATCGTGGCGTCGTCACTTCGGTCGTCATAGTACTCCGTCACATCTACCACCTTAGAACGACTCAGCTCTCTTCCTCACGCAGTTATGATACTCCGGGAAGCAAGGCGAATACCGACTTGGACACCACTGGTGGGGTCGCGATGGGCAAGAGCCCAATAATACTTGAACGTTTCGGTCTGTAGGTCTTGTCCTGCGCTATCTGGGTAGGGTAGAATGCCGGCGCCTGCCCTTTTCCGAATCAGCAGGTTTGATTCTCAGCAGTACCTGATCCATAGCTGTACGTACCATGGGCTTGCCCATCTCAGCGAGTCGTCCCCAGGTAACTCGCGCGCAACAATCATCACTGAGTAGCCAGCCTGAGCAAGGGCCAGAGCCGATGTGAGTCCGATGACTCCAGAGCCGATGATGCCAACTTCCATTCTGAAAGCAATCCACTAAGTGTGGATAATTTAGCCATAGTGGAGGCGAACTTTGACGAACAGGTTGCCTTTAATATAATACTGCTGCACAAGAGCTGCACAAGTTAACAGCAGACTACGGACACAGAATTAGCCTCCGGCCCGGGCACCACTCGCAGTTTCGTAATAATGGGAAGACGATAACTAAGAAAGCAAGGAATTGCCACCAAAAGCATCCTAGTTAGATTCCAAGGACGATCTTATTCCGGAACTTTGACTCGGGTATCGGTACCCGAGCGTCCTCGTCTTGCGCGGATGTCGATGACTGAAAGTATGGAAGCGCACTCTACAGCTGAGAAGAAGATAGGATGCAAGATGCAAAACTGGGTAAAATGAAAATGGCACCCGGCTGCTGTCACCGGTCATGAGGACCAAAGGGAATCCACACTGTGAAAGAAGGGCTCTGTGGAGTATCCGTCTGTGCCGCTGATAGGAAATCGATCTGACGTCCACCTTCTATGTAGACACTCAGATTCCAGATGACAATAATACTGTCAACCGTTCTCTGAAACACGAAAAGGTACCTGTAATAGAGAGACACATATTTTAGCTTGAAAATGGCAAGCGGCTCTCATATGCTCTCAGACCCCGGAGCGCTCCTTTGGCGCTCCTTGGGGATCGCGACCACCAACAAATGACAGAATCGTAGGACTGGCGCTGGACTAGTCGGATAGTTTAAGGTACGGCACAATTCCAAACATTCCACAATCTCTATCGCATATGAAGGTCGTAATATCTTCAGATCCTGCTACGAAAAGGAGAAACACAGCCTCTCATCACTTCTCTTATTCAACGCTATCAAAACAGGATGTGCAATGTAGAGATTGCGAGTCTCCGAAAGCGCGTCACCAGTAATCACCCTACTGACCTCCAGTATAAAGGACATAACTCTTTCACGATTATCGACCCTTCACAGGCGGGAGCCCTGAGCAATTGCAAGAGCCACGCACTCAATTTCGACCTCCAAATCACAGGGTAATGTTTTCACAGCGACACAGCTTCTAGCTGGTCGATGTGTGAAATATTTATCATAAACCGAATTGAACTCAGCGAAATTGTCCATATTGCTCAGGAACACGGTGACTTTAACCACTCGGCTGATATCGCTTCCAGCCTCCACCAAGACTGCTTGGACACTTCTACAACATGCGTGAGTTTTGTCCGAAATGCTTCCTTCCAGAGGGGCTCCGTTTGAATCGATTGGAATCTGACCAGAAAGAAAGATAAAGGGCCCGGCAACCACAGCTTGCGACTTCGTATGCAAACGTCAGCCACTTGCTCTTTATAAAACCACGTTCATGAGAGAGGATAAGTTCTTAAGAAGAGGTTCTCTTCAGGGAAGTGCGGGCATGAATTCAAGTTGGGATATGGAGTCATACGTAAGGTCCAATTGCTACCCCAATATCAGTCAGTTTACGCATTCACGAGAATCTCACGATATACCGAAGACTCACCTGGGCACGCTTTTGAAGTCGATATGCGGGTGAGTTCTGTGGACATGGCGTTCGGGTTAGTTTCGAGGTCGGAAAAAGAGATCTCCTTGACCTACTTCAAGTGATACGGAAAGGCGATAAACGAATGTCGGTGATGCTACAAGGGTGCTGTTATATAATTTACGAGTGCCCTGTCTAGTACATTGTAATTGACATGGAAGAGGAGTCTAAATGCTCAGGACTCGGCCCGGTGCTCGTCTCTTAGAGACGGGTTATTGTCTGCTTTGACCTGCAGCCCAATCCGCAAAATTGTAAACCTGCAATCCAGATATACAGGGACTCACGAACCTGAACACTGAACAAATTAACCCGTACTGTCATATCGGTGACTTGGTTAACTTGAGTTCTTCGAATTATGCGTTCTTACAAAGGGGGCAAATATAAAAATGACTAAGCAGCAAAAATGAAGGTTTTGGGTAACAGAAAAGATTGAGGCACCGGGTAGACGTACCTGGGAAAATCATCAATCATGCATCTCTCTATCTCAGCCGGCTAGAACAGCGTACAGCGACGGCTGCAAAGACCAAATTTTGGTATGACCTTTTTTTGACAATCACTGCACCCTGAACAGTGGAGGAGAGCGTCGCTGAACTGTTCGGCTCCTCGAAGTTCATCTATCCGGTTGTCACTGTGGGAAAGGCTGCACTTGTGCGTCGATAGAATCGGGATATTATGGATGGCCGCAGCGGAACTTGTGGCATCGGAGCTTCTCTTGGAACCAACCTGGGCATCTGTATATCCATGATGTGTGGTTCGTGCTGTCATGTGGTACTTGATGTTCTTCCTCATGGTGTATATCCTGTCGACCAAGGCCCCATCCTCTTGAGTCCCTTTAACGTCGGGAAAGTGGTCAAGCGGGCTATTGGTCAGCTAATCCTTTTGCATAAAGTCGTTCAAAAGAGCAAAGAGCATATGCAGCTGTTGCCCTTTGCAACCGAGCGAGCCCCCTGAATATGATGTTGGCCGCGGCTGAAAACTATGAGATATTACTATTATAGAACCAAATCAAAGCAAAAGTCATTTGAATATTTGAATTATCCCAGGTATACTAGGACAGTCTGTCATAGTATGACTAGTTTGATGGCAATTACTACGTTGTGGTGGCGCACGCTTTTAGGACCTGGTTCCGTCGCCTGAGCTTCTTGGGCAAGTTGCTGGCCTTCAACGCCTGTTAGAACAACCCCAGTAGCCATAAAGGATCCAGCGGGTGCGCACTTTCGCTTCTGCTTCTCATTTGCTGCACGTAGCCCCTTTATCTCCTGGTTTAGGAGAAGGACCTTATGCATAGTAGATTCAGCTGCCTTCGCAAGTTGACGGATAGCCTCAGTTGGCGGACTTTGGGAGCTGCGCTTGATAAGCTGTTTAATAAGCTCCATCTCCCTTTGCACCTCAGTGCACGAAAGCAGTGTATCGCCTGTCGGTCGTCGAAGGTCAGCGCAATATTTACGTAGTATACGTGTGGACTTACTTACTATTCTTGATAAGCGTGGATTTTGGGTTGCGCGATCCTTGTCTCATCTTCATGAGATATAGTTCAGCTCCTACATGGGTCCATTGTAGAAAGTGTCAGCAAGGCCAAGTACATATTCTAGATGATCGGGCAATGCTTACCCCGAGATCGTTTGTCAACACGATCATTGTCCACCCTTTAATTCCTAATTACCAGTGCCAGTGCAGCCTGTTATACCTGCCCAGCTCCTTCAAATGTGAGTCCTTGACCCACAGCCCGATGGAACTTTGAAACGAGGGTCAGCGACATCTACCTATAGGGACACATTCCCCCATTCCTCAAATACTGTGCCGTCAAAACTTCCATCTTCGGACTTCGGTACCACCGACTGTTCTGCTTGTTCCAGGTAGGCGCTCCCCTTCATCGACGTTCCCCTGTCCACAATACCTGTCTCGAGTCTTCCGTTCTTCAGGGAGCCATACGGATCGCCGTCTCTACGAAGGCTGTGCAAGTAATCGATCAACTGCCAGGAAGGCCGTCCTTGACAATAACACCCATTTTTGCTGCATCAAGTTTTACACACCTCGTCATCGAAGTCATTCGGTAATAAGCAGACAACACCGCCGAGCGCTGACAGGCTTCGTGACAGACGGAGATTCGTTTGCTTGGTAGCTACTACTTCGGGGCCCCAAGTGGATTGATCTGTAGGTTCGACGTGGAGCAAGTATGAGATCACGCTGGCTCTATGGTGGCACCCGATCCTTTACCGCGGTCCGAGCTTTAAGATATGGCATATCTTAAAGCCCGGGAATACAGAAACACGCTGCCAATCCCATAGTTATGACTGGAATTCCGGGTCCGGTGTAGAAGCTGCATCTGCAAACGTTGATACACAGTGAGAGATTTCCTCTCTGATAGTCTCATGTTATGATGCCAATACAGATAAAATTTCTTTTCAGTAGAGGGCTAATTTCCTTCTTGCATGACTGAGGGATAGGTAGGTTCGATATATGAGCTATGACTCGAGATCAGAGTAGGATTAACCGCAACACTATCTCACGGCGCGCCTAAAGCTGGGACATATTCTGGACAGACGTGACACGCGATAGCTGCTAGTAAGTTATATGCCGAAAGAAACCGATACATGTGTCCTGAGTCCTAAAAAAGCATGAGCTGTACATACACTGAGAATAATCCCAAGTAGAGTGACTGTATTCGGACATAATGAGATAGAATGCACCAATATAACGCAGGGGCATTTTAGTTGACGTGGCATATTTACTTCGGGACTGCTGGCCATTTTGGCCTGTGAGCGTCGTTAGAGGCTATGTCTGATTTCGAGTTGTACAAGGCTTTCCATGGAGAGTAGTCAAGCAGTGGCAAGAGTGTCCGATCGTCATGCCCAGTCGTCATGGAATCAGGCCCTGCTCAGTGATAAAAGTTCCTCTCATTGGAAATTATCATGGAACGGTACATCCTGCCTTGGGCTATATCGAACCAGGAACTCGGGTGCAGGCATCCGGGAACTGATCAAATCCAGTTTCCAGTGGAGTCAGACAATACATGATCCGGCTTGAAATAGCAAGGAGAAGGAAGTTAGATAAGGAAGTACAATAATCTCAAGTAGGGTGATTTATCGTTGCTTTACCTCCTGTAGTTACGGGAATTTCCCAAGGCCTCATTTTCCGAGTGTATACCACAATTGCGGTCTACCCTTAAACAATTCCGGAAATTTCCACCACGCCATCAAAATTGATCTAAACAAACATCTGACAGGACCTTATGGCTCCAAAACGTCGTGTGCTTTTGATTGGGGCAGGATGAGTCGGAACCATCGCTACGCTCAATCTGGAGATTGGTGAATTGGCTGAAGTCACCTGCGTCTTGCGATCCAACTATGAAAGTGTTATGACCAGCGGATTCGAAGTTATCTCCTGTGAACACGGCCATCTTCAGGGTTGGCGGCCGACTGCCAGTATATCAATCCAATTCACTAGCTGAATATTTTGGGCTAACGAGCATCGATATCAGTCTCAAATGCAGTCCCCCATGTTGCTCCCAGTGAGGAGAGCCGGTTCTTCGACTATGTTGTGTGCACCACCAAGAACATACCCGACGTCGGCCCCTCAGTATGTGAGATCATTGCGCCTGCAGTGACCCCAGGGCTCACTGTGATTGTTCTCCTCCAGAATGGGCTGAACATCGAGAAACCATTCCTGTCTCGTTTCCCGCACAATGTTATTCTCTCCGGCGTGAGTCAAATCGACGCTCATGAGATCGCCCCTGGAGTGATCGAGCAGAAAGGAAATGATCATTTATGTATCAGTGCCTTTCGCAAAAACCAGGTCAGCGAGGACATTCAACAAAAAGCTACAGAGGAATTTCTAAGTATCTACGGTGCAGGACGCAGGACCACTATCCGCTATGAGCCAGACTGGGAGCAAAAGCGTTGGAGGAAGCTGGTCTACAATGCAACTTTGAACCCTATATGCGCTCTTACTAGGGTAAATACTGGCGATTTACAAATATGTGGTGGTGCTCTGGATCACTTGGTTGTTCCCGCTATGCAGGAGGTAGTCAAAATAGCCCGAGCAGTCGGAGTTGATTTGCCCAAGGATGTCATCGAGACAGCGGTCCGCATGTATCCGGTCGAAAATAAGATATGTCCTAGTATGCAGAAGGACATGCAAAAGGTATGTGTTGTGCGAAAAGTTTCACGTGAATACTGGGAACTAACAGTTGCAGGGCAATCTGGTCGAACACGAGAATCTGATAGGTGAGGTGATTCGCGAGGGACAGAGGCGAGGCATTCCCGCACCTATTCTATCGGTGTTGTATGAACTCTGCTCGGCTGTTCAGTGGAGGACACGAAAGGAAACCGAAGAGCGTAGCTAGAACATTTAGTATACACCAGTAAAATTCTAAGGGACTCACTCATCTAATCAGTAAGTGCTCTTCCTCGTGGATAATGGAGCCGTTGGCTTCACAATTGATTAAGATAACAAGAATGTCTCATGCTTGTTCAAGCATATCCTTGAAATAGATACTAAGAACATTTGATAGGATAAGTCTCTTTTTTTGGATTGGAAATGCATCGAGGTCCAATGGAAAGAGTCCTCGGCCCGATGTACACTGAGTTCCGGGCCGGTGAACCCTGATGAGGTACCAAGAGGTACTTTAATAGGCTTTCATTCTCATCACAGCTGTCTCACGCTCATTACAGCCATTCAAATCATGTCTGTTCCCTCATATCGCATTGCCTCTATCCCAGGAGACGGTATCGGTCCCGAAGTCGTGGGAGCCGCCATCGAGGTGGTCACGAAGCTGGCCGCCGTATTGCGCACTTTTGAAATCGAATTCACGCATCTTCCGTGGGGTACCGACCACTGGAAAAAGACGGGCTCCTATGTTCCTGAAAACTACTTGGAAGTCTATCGACAGTTCGATGCATGTCTGTTTGGTTCCGTCGGCGCACCAGGTGGGTCAGGACTCTACCTAAACTTCCTGTCCACTTCTTCTGACTTTACTGGCTGATTGATGAAGACGTCCCCGATCATATCTCCCTCTGGGGTCTCCTCCTCGCCATCCGCAGTCCACTCCAGCTCTTCGCCAACGTACGCCCTGTGAAATCCTTTCCAGGGACCAAGAGCCCCCTCGCAGGACCGCCCCAAATTGACTGGGTGCTCATCCGCGAGAACTCTGAAGGTGAATACTCCGGACACGGCGGACGCTCGCACATCGGTCAGCCCTGGGAGACTGCGACTGAAGTAGCGATCTTCACACGGACAGGCGTGGAGCGAATCCTCAGGTTTGCTTTTGAGACAGCGCGCTCGCGGCCAAGAAAACATTTAACCGTCGTGAGCAAAAGCAATTCCCTTCGGCACGGGCTGGTGCTCTGGGATGAAGTTGCCGCAGGAGTTGCCCGCGATTTCCCCGATGTGGCCTGGGATAAGGCACTGGTAGACGCAATGACTGTTCGGATGGTGAATAAACCAGAGACGCTAGACACCATTGTGGGGACAAATCTGCACATGGATATTCTGTCTGATCTGGCCGCGGCCCTGGCGGGTTCTATTGGCATTGCAGCCTCGAGTAACCTCGACCCGACGCGGGAGAACCCATCCATGTTTGAGCCAGTCCATGGGAGCGCGTTTGATATCACTGGCATGGGGATTGCGAACCCCATTGGCGCGATCTGGTCTGCAGCGGAGATGTTGACCTGGTTGGGCCAAGGAGCAGAGGCCGATCGACTCATGGATTGTGTCAAGTCTGTTTGTGAGGCGGGGGTTGTGACTGCGGATCTGGGAGGTTCGGCTACTACGAGGGTCATAGTCGATGCCATCTGCGAGGAGATATCTCGCCAACGGCCACTGTGAGCTTCCCGCCACGGCCAGTTAACGTACCAGAGTGGTCGATGATAGTTGTTTAATTGCAATTGGTTAGAAGTGGGCTCTCCTTTGCAGTACTGCCGATCTGTCAAAGAATGAACCAGACTAGTCCATCATGATTAACGCGCGCGTAGTGGAGCTGCCTGAGGGAAAAGCACTCTACAACCTTGACATGCGACGTCGTTGACTCTATCCTCAGGGTCGGGAAGTTTTTCTCTTCACTCGGCGGTTTACCTCCACTCTGGTTCTAATCCGTTCGTTAGCTACTATCTTCACGTAAAATATCATCCTTAGGTCTTCACGAAGTTTGCTTAATCCTAAAACAACAGCGTTTCAGGGACTTTTGTGGAAGAAGTGGTAAAGAATACTGGGATGATCTGACGGTTTAAGCCGATGAGCGGGGCGCGGACGGTTGAGGGTCCACGACTATCCTCGGGAAACTGGAGAAGGTTGTATCAACGGACAGATGATCTCTTCCTTACATGCATATGCGTAGCTGATTGGGCAGCCGGTCGATGAATTTACGGGTGATAATGAGGGGGCGGAAGGGGTTGAAGGGTTGTCATGGCTGCATCGAGAGCTGGGAGATGAGTGGAAGTCAAATACAACATACACTGGCGCATCAAAAGCGTTAACCATGGCCTTGACCGCTTTCCAGCGCGATTATGGTATCCTCTAACTGCGTCCGTGCTACCTGAGGCAAATTGCTACAACGTTCAGATTAATGTTCCCTTGATTCATGATTCCAGGTCAAGTCGTTCAGAACATTTCGCAGTCAGCACACACATTCTCTCTGGAAATGATAATTTTCTCGTCCGGAGGAAGCCAAGACATACGCTTGCTGCATATGTGTGGTCATCTGGTGGTCGTTTTGGCGAGCCAGGGCAAGATTGTGTGTACATGTCTTGAGAGGCGCTTGTATCTGTGCATTGAGGAGGACTTCGCTGGGACCGACCTTGAAGGATGTCGTAGAATATAGGTCAAGCGAATACTTAGAATGTGACGACTGACTCCCGCTGTATATAGGTGATATGTGATGACAGAATAGCTTGTTCCGGCCGGGGAAGAGTAGGCATCTCCTAAAGGGGAGTTGTCTGCATCAAGCGACTCTAAATACTTCATACCCTGATTATTGGGAACGAGAGTTCCCCACCGACGACATTGACCAGAAGAATAGAATTGACGCTTTTCGGCGAAAATATCAAAATTGACAGAGTTGATTGTCTCCCGTCTTCTCAGCGAGATATTTATCGTGAGAGTGGGGTTTACCTCTGTATGACCCAATGGCTCGGCACGTGCCTCCCCCTCCCCCTCCCCCAACACGGCACAATTTTCGATGACTTCAGTCCCTTCCGAGTCTCTGTATTTCACTGGAGTTTCAACTGATCCCTTCCACGAGCCACGGCGGCGGCGTGCTCTGTTTCAAGATCATGCGTCTGTTTTTCTGCATAGCCCAGGACAAATATGCTTCTTCCGTTAGATCATGTCGCAACCTGAGAGTACCAGACCCCGTGGTCGTCAAAAGCGTCCCAGGGTCCCGGAGGCCTTGCGGAAGAGGGTTGCGCAAGCGTAAGTTATCCCATCAATTTATTCCCATCATTCGCTCTCAATTGGAAGAATACGCTAATTGGAAATCCTTTTTTCTAGATGCGATTCGTGCAGATACCACAAGGAGAAATGTACTGAGGGCTTCAACATATTGCCTCGAATCCGCTAACCGACGACACCAGGCCATGGCGGTTTACCTTGTGTGCGATGCCAGCGATATAAGCGGACATGTCAATACAGCCAAGTTGATAAGCGCTCAGAGCGGGTAGTCCAATCGAACGTTTCGAGGTATGAAGTTGGCCTGTGTTTCACTGCAACGAAATCTCGGGCGCTCAATTGATAAGGTATCCTGTCAGTCATTCCCCACTGCCGGCGTCGGACAAGCAACGACACCTGGAGCGGATTGTACAGCATTTTTTGGGTGACATATCGTTGGAGGCGTCAAATCTGCGAGTTGTTGCGGATATGCTGGAGGGGAATCGCTCAGAATCTCGCAATGCATCCATATCAGGCCCAAACCAGGAAGACTACGAAGACGGCGCCGTAATGGACAGCTATTCCATTCATCCGCTTTCCACTAGTACAATGCGTATGTCGAACAAATTCTGCACTGGAACCAGGCTGTTCGTGCCCGTACTCTGCCTACTAATGCCGTTACATAGACTACTCTGGAGAGTTCTCTCACTGGAATTACTCGCGCATGATTCGCCGCCGACTGCAGAGCCTTGGGAATGACCCCGATGACAATGCGGTATTTATTCCTCCATATATAGTACAGCAGTTACAGTGCCGTGCTGACATGATTATCAGGCAGGCGACGTTGCGATAGCCAATGACTCATTTCGTGCAACCAAACTCCAGTCCACCAGTTCGCTCGTCAAGTCGTCCACAACGTACTTTCCCCCACGACATATTGCCGAGTTCCTGACGAACAATTTTCTAGAGTACGCACAGACGAATTACTTTTATTTCGACGAGATAGTGTTCCGGCAGAAATTAGACTACTATTACACCATTGAACGTCCGTTGGACATCAATGACGCCGGCTGGATATGTACAATTCTAATGACATTTGCAATTGGAACGCAGTTCGCTTACATGAACGGCGACCGTTCACAGGCCTTGCGCGACCCGCCCGGCGAAAATAGTCTGCTTGACGATAACATTGGGTTGGCTCTCTATCGGCATTCATGTCGCTTGATTCCCGATTTAATTACTATTGCTTCAATCGAGACAGTTCAAGCATTTCTGCTGCTCGGTGTCTACACACTCCCCATTGATACTTCCGGTCTTGCTTACACTTATTATGGGCTGGCTATCAACATGGCCATCCAAAATGGGATGCATCGTCGGTTCGCGGGTGATGGCTTGGATGCACGGACAATCGAAGTTCGGAACCGTCTTTGGTGGTCAGCGTATTCATTGGAGAAGTATGAAAAAGCCTAATCGATTCACGACTAAAGCATGTGTAGCTTTCTAACGTGTCATACACAGGAGGATTAGTATACTTCACGGGCGTCCCTTCTCTGTGTCCGCTGCTGAGACAGACGCTGAGCTGCCCAAAGACTTGCCTGAACTGAGACCACCTAATCGTGCGACCAACCTCCCTAATGTCAATGCTACTATTCACTTGACCGAACAGCTTGGAAAGGTCGCACATATCATGTGAGTAATTCAGCTGACACTAGTTGAATTTCCGCACGCTTTTAACAGTGAGTATAGAGGCCGGCTACGGCGCCTTCCACGAGGCTTGCACCAGCCCTTTTTAGAACAACTGTTTTACATTCACAATGAAATCATAAGATGGTGGGACTCTCTCCCCGAGAAGGTGCATTGTCGGGACCTCGATCCTTCGGGCCCCCTTTTCCGCTGCAATATCCACATGGAATTAAATTATGCTATGCTCAGGCTGTACATGGGCCGCCCGTTCATCCTGATTCAACCAAAAGACTCGTCAAGTGCAGGAGAAGTTGATCCCCAACGCGACCCAGGTCCAGACATCACCGCGACTTTGTCCTCTGATGGTGTACATGCTGCTATCAGAATCATCGAGCTCTGCCAATTGCTGCAGGACACGGTCGGGTTAGCCCGCATTTCATACACGGAATTCAGTTCCTGTCGTGCTGCGCTCCTGGCGATCATTGCTCAAAGCTTGAATGCGCGACCGGACTACCTACGTGATTCCCTTTTGCAAGGAATGGCTTTGATCCGTCAAATGTGCGTTGGTCTAGAATCGGCTCGCTCAGAGGTAGCGGTCATTGAGGCCCTGGAGCAGGCGGCGCGGCGTCTGGATCATCGTAGCCGAAGTGAGGATACAGCCACCAGCCAAGTCGATTCCGCCTATAGTCAGTTCCAGCGTTGGGCTAGACTGTGGCAGAACGAGCCTTCGTCTTTGAGTGTCATGCCAGAGAGTCAACTTGATGACCCTCAAATAACTGCCGGTTCGTTCGATGGATTCTTCGCGTCTTTCCCACAAGAACTTGGATCTTTTGCGACCCTTCATGATGCCGAATTGCAGTTCAGCCTAAACTCACCAAGCATGCTGTGGCTGGACAATCTCCAACTACCGCCGTTTTCTGAAGACACAAGTGCTCCAGCCTGGGAGGCTGGCAATGCATGAAGTTTCCAAACCAAGAACACTGGCCTATTGATCTGCTTCCATGAAGACAAATCTGTTCACGGCCCACGACTTATCTTCTATCAATGCATGCCTCGTATGGTCATCTATACTACTTCTGACTCTCCGCGGAATTGGAATGTAAATGGGTCGTTCAATGAATCATTATTCGTGATAAAGAAGTTAACTCAGAGGCAAACAGCTCGTGGCCGTATTCCTGCTATGGACGCTACACGTGGACAGGGATAGAATGATCCACCGTGCGGTGAGGGAGCCCTTTGCGAAAAACCAAAATATATCTTCGCACGGTTTGCCCAAGTATCCATACAAATTAGTCGGTCTGCCATTGATCTTTGATACGAGTCATTCTAGAGAGATTACTGGAACACTTGATCGATATTAATGCATAAAATTTGCCTTCTTGTGGCCCCTCTTTGTAATGGATATCTCTCTGACCTGGTCTATAGACCCCCGATCGTAATTGTCTTGACGTGCGTAAACTCGTCAATCCCGTACTTGCTCCCTTCTCTTCCAAATCCGCTTTCCTTAACACCACCGAACCTGCGGGTGGCGGTCAGCTGCTGATTCACTAGGCTACAGGAACAGGGAAGCTTACGGAGATGCAACGTTACTGATGATGCCAGTATTGGCGCCCACCATGCCAACTTCAAGCGCTTTCGCAACTCGAAGCATCCGTGCCGCGCTTCTGCTATACAAATATGCAGCAAGACCCACCTCACAGTTGTTAGCCAGCCCAATGACCTCGTCCTCAGAGTTAAACGGGAAGAGAGCAGCGACTGGGCCAAATGTTTCTTCGGAGGCCAGTCGCATATCGTGCGTCATGTCCGCCAGCACCGTGGGCTGGACGTAGTTTGTACCCAGATGCTCCATGCGTTCTCCGCCAAGTAGCACTCGGGCTCCTTTTGCCTTTGCATCTTCAATATGCTCCATAACTTTGTCCGCGGCGGCGGCGTGAATGAGTGGACCGTGCGTGACGCCTGGCATGAAGCCCGGTCCAACCTGGAACTGCCTGACCTTGGCCACGAGCTTCGCCGCGAAGTCATCGTAGCAAGATCGATGGACGTAGATGCGGTTGGCGCACACACAGGTCTGTCCAGAGCCTCGGAATTTGGAAGCAATCAGCCCATCCACCGCATCATCGAGAGACCCAACATCGTCAAACACGATGAAAGGAGCATTTCCTCCGAGTTCCCAGGACACTCGTTTCACGGTTGACGCCGCCTGGTTCATCAACAGCTTACCCACCCGTGTGGACCCCGTAAAGGAAACTTTCTTGATGCTTGGATGGGTGGAGAGCACCCTGCCCACCTCAACAGTATTATCTAAGCTCGTCAGGATATTTACGACTCCTGGGGGTACACCCGCGCGGTGCGCTAGTTCCGCCAGCGCATTCGCTGTGAATGGTGTCTCTCCGGGACTTTTAGCCACCACGGTGCATCCAGCTGCTAGGGCGGGTGCTATCTTGCGGGTGATCATAGCTGCAGGAAAGTTCCAAGGTGTGATGAGCCCACATACGCCGACGGGTTCTCGAATGGTGACCACGAAGGTTCCCGGCACTGATACGGGAATACTATCCCCGTACAAGCGAGGACATTCTTCGCTGAACCACTCGACAAATGCAGCTGCATAGGCGACTTCGCTTTTGGCCTCCACTAGTGGCTTGCCGTTCTCCCATGTAATCAGTTTCGCCAAGTCGTCCTGATTCTGCATGATGAGGTCGTACCATCGGCGTAGCATGCGAGAACGGTCGCGGACAGGTGTTTGGCGGAATGAGCACAATGCTTCCGAGGCCGCGTTGATTGCTCGGTGGGCATCCGCAGTATCGCTGTCGGGGCAGGTTCCGACAAGTTCATTCGTAGCGGGGTCTTTCATATACACTGTCAGGGGGGTCAAGGCTCAGAGAGGCAGTTGGGACATCCTACCAAAGACCTTGAAGGTCTTTCGGGATTGGGCAGTAACCCACTGTCCGTTGACGTAGCATTTGCCAATGAAGAGGGACTTATCTCTCAGCTAGAAGCCAATTAGCCGTTGTCACCGTGCGTTCTGTATCGGACTCACTTTGAGAACCATGGGATCCATAACGAGATGTTTGGTATGGGGAACCTTCGGGCAGAGCTTTGGGAATCGGGGCATCAGTATTATAGCGCAATTCGGATATACGGCAAGGGAGCCATGATTTTCTATATATGACTCCCGGGAGAGGATGTTACATACTCCAGTTCGGCTTCTCTACTCGGATCGAGCCAAATCTCGGGTGAATGCTCCCGGTCACCTCACCGAAGTATTGATCCCGGAACATACACAGTCAGAATGATGGCAAACAATGACCAGCGCAATGGTAGAGCTCTATTTGATATTGACTGAGAATTTTCTAAGATACTAATTCTTGAGCTCTCAAACCAAACATCCGTACGCTGTTGTTCCACGCTGCTTCCGCTACAGTCTCCACTGGGACTCCCTTTAAACCAGCTACAACCATCGCAACCCGTTCAATGGTACACGGCTCATTACGCGACTTGACCATCCGCCCAGCAAGGAACTTCTGGGGTTTCCGGGACGGAGGCAGCGGTCGTGCTGTTTCCAGGTACGCCGCAATCTTCTCATCATTGGCCAACACCTCGCACCAGGGTGCATCTGTTTCCAACTGCAGCTTGTCCAGTGGTATATGACGCACCATGTCCAGCTGCTTTTCCGTTCGGAAACTGATTCCACTCACGCTAATCTCCATTCCAAGCTTGACAAGCTGCTCCATCTCCGCTTTAGATCCGGAAAAGGAATGTACAAGCCCGCCCCGGGGTAAGCGAGGCAGATACGGCGAAAGGATACTGACGAAATCGGCGCAGGATTCACGCATGTGCAGAAATAGAGGCAGCTGCATCTCAACGGCTAAGTTGAGTTGATCGCGGAATGCCCGCTGCTGCGTTTCCTTATCGGCGCGGTCGAGATACTCATAGTCCAATCCAATCTCGCCGAATGCCACAAGTGGGGAAGGTATTTCGGCTAGCAGTTGCTCTCCAAGCCTTTTCAGGTCGCTGAGATACGACTTTCCCGCGTCTTGAGTGTAGATCTCATTTGCGTGGTAGGGGTGCACACCTAGAGTTAAGGTGCATATGTCGGGGTACTGTCTTGCGAGTTGTAGATTGGTATGTGCGCCGGGTAGCGACATGGTCGTCAGCATCATCTTCTTACAGCCATATTCTTGGGCTCTTCGGATGACTTCCGTAAAGTCGCACTCGTGGTATTTTTTGCCGCGGTAGATGCCGTGGAACTGGTCAGCTGTGTAGGTAACTGCCACCTGTGCACAATTAGTCTTATATTCATATCGTTGGAGTATGTCGAAATTTTGAAATTGTCAAGCGTGATGGAGAAATGTGATGGGGGTAAAACGTACATCCGCAAATCGCAGAGAGAGTCGTCGCGGTAATGGGTTGGACATGACTTCTGGTATATAGACCACTTCCCGACTCGAATTGAATTCTCAACAAGGTAGTTCATGCCTTTTTATAGCCTGCGTCTATACTCTCGTTATCACCAGGCAATCATTATTTCTGGAGTTCATCAAATTTTCTTCACACAAGTGTTCGGGTACATGTACCCGGGCCTTATCAGGGCGATAAACAAGCAAATCATGAGGATAACATTGAACTGATATAACGATAAACAGCATAATAGCTACTGCTTCTCGACTGCATCTGCCATATCACCCAAAGTGCTGAACCTCCAGTCGTAGACAGCCTCACTCAAATTGCCCATCGTAGCCCCCGGCCTCTCAATCCAAACCGACTTCAGCCCCATCCTCTTAGCCGGATGATGATCGTGAAACTGGCTTTGTGCCGTCTGTAGCACTTGCTCCGGCTCCACGCCGAAAGCTTCTTTAACGGACCTTAACATATACCTGAAATTCTCCAGGTTGGGCTTATACGAGCCTACGTCCTGCGCTGTAATCACTAGATCAAACGGGAAACCCTGCAAACTGCCCGCGTTGGTTTTGGCAAATGACTCCCGGTCGACGTTCGAGAGCACGACAAGCTTGTAGTGCTTGCTCAGGCGCTTGAGTGCCTCCACAGTATCCGGGAACGCTGGCCAATGGCCGACTGACTCGCCGAAGATGTGGCTTTCTTCCGAGGTTGGTGAGTTGAGGCCGAGGCGTTCGGTTAGGAGGGGGTGAATTGTGGTGAGGAGGCGGGAATAGGGCATGTCTGGTGTCTGAGATTGCTGTTGTTTCTCGAGTTCGTGGTAGACATGCAGATATTGGTCTTTGGTGATTGGGGGATTGCCATTCTTCGCAAGTGCGGGCTGGAAGGCGTTCCAGACGCCGGATTCCCAGTCGATTAACGTTCCGTAGACGTCGAAGGAGAGGAGGCGGTAGTCAAGGAGATTAGACATCTTGTACTGTGTCTCTCAATGGTTGATTGAATGAATGACAGTGATTGTGATGATACTACACTCGGTTGTGTTCTCGATGGCCATGGTCCGTTTATATGCAGTGTTCGACAGCCCGGGAACATTTACCCGAGTTGAGTCCGAATCTGACCGGTTGAATCATTGTTATTGTGGTGTATGTGACGAGACCTTTCGATAAATCCGGAAACTGTTGCTTCTACTCGGGCCGATGAGATTAATGCTCGGAATATCTGTTTTTGTTCCTTTATAACCCAGGAGGCACTGCCGTCCTCGACCGACTCCCTTCTAACGAACAACGTCACCAACTGACTGGTTAATGACTTGTTTTTTCCAGAAAAGAAAAATGACCTTTGCACTCTCCGAGCCTCCTGCCCCTTCAACATTGACTGCCGTTCCGGGCCCATCGACCAATGCCACTAAGCGGGAGCTGGATGTCATCTTTGACGCCCGGACAACGCAGATCGTCGTCGACTATGAAAAGAGTTATGGAAACTAGTCAGCCCATCCCTCCACACATCACGTAGGATACCAACTGATGCTTCATTTAGCCTATCAGACGTCGACGGCAACTGTTTTCTGGACGTGTATGCGCAGATCGCCTCGATTCCCGTGGGCTATAACAACCCAGCCTTAATCCAGGCAGCCCAGTCCCGCGAGATGATCTCCGCTCTAGTCAACCGCCCAGCAATCGGCAACTTCCCCTCACAGCACTGGCTGAAGCTCCTCCGCGAGGGTCTCATGCGCGTCGCACCCCGCGGTTGCACTCAGGTGTTCACCGCACAGTCCGGCTCGGAGGCCAACGAGCTCGCCTTTAAGGCAGCTTTCATGGCCTACCAACGCAAACAGCGCGGCCCGGACAACCAACACTGGTCCACACGTGAGCTGGAAAGCGCAATGAAGAACCAAGCACCCGGGTCCCCAGACCTTGCCATCCTTAGCTTTAAGGACTCCTTCCACGGCCGCGGCCTTGGCAGCCTCTCGGCCACCCGCTCCAAGCCCGTCCATAAGATGGATATCCCGTCGTTCAAGTGGCCGCAGGCTACATTCCCTCGCCTCAAATACCCTCTTGAAGAGCATGAGGACGATAATCGCGCCGAGGAACGGCGCTGTCTGCAAGAGGTCGAGCACATTCTGGCCTCCTGGTACTGCCCCGTCGCCGGAGTAATTGTCGAGCCGATCCAGAGTGAGGGTGGGGATAACCATGCATCACCGGGTTTCTTTCAGGGACTGCAGGCGCTCACTAAAAAGCATGGGATCTACTTAATTGTCGATGAAGTGCAGACAGGTTTTGGTGCCACAGGCAGGTTTTGGGGCCATGAGCATTGGGAGCTTCCTGCTGCACCGGATATCGTGACCTTCTCGAAGAAGGCGCAGACGGCTGGATACTTTTTTAGTGATGCGATGCTGCGGCCGGATAAGGCGTATCGGCAGTTTAACACGTGAGTCTATGCATCAAACCCCTCTCTTCTCTAGTTAAGTTCACCAGTGGTGCTAACAAGATTAGGTGGATGGGCGACGCCGCGCGTGTCATCATATCCAATGCTGTTATTGATGAGATCCTCTCTAAGAATCTGGTCGAACACACTGTAAGCTACCTCATGTTGATGTAACTGCGGTCCTATGTCTAATATGATGCTTTATGCTAGGCGCGTATCGGCGATATCCTCTACGAGAGGCTCGCTGCTTTGTCGACCAAATTTCCCCAGCTCATCTTGAATCTCCGAGGCAAAGGCAGGGGCACGTACATTGCCTTTGACACTCCGGACGCCAGCTCCTTGCTCAAAGAGATGCGCAATGCCGGAATCAACGTTGGAAGCTGCGGTGTGTCCACTATTCGGCTACGGCCGATGCTGATCTTTGGGGAGGAGCACATTCCTCTACTGTTAGATGGATTTGAAAAAGTGTTTGCTAAGTTAGAAAAATAGTCCGATGCCAGCGAATAGCAGTTACTATATAGTCTACGCGGCTGTGTGTCTCGTGTAACTCACTTTCATTATGGTTTTGACTCTTGTGGACTGTTTTTCTCCTGTACTATGGGTTACACCGCCAGAGGGGCGTGATCGACAGACGCAACTTACAGTTACTGTCGGTGTCATACCGGAACTACCTATAGAAGCGGAACTCTCTGTTCGAACCCCCTGTTCTTGCTACCTTGACCAGCTAAATGCTACCTTGGGGTTTTAATTGGATATGAAACTAGCCCTCTGCACGCTAGACAGCCGTTTGCCGTAGGACTCTGCAAAACTCCTTCCCTAGTCACAGCCAGGTCCTCAAGCAGTTCCTCTTCAATAATTATTAGACGACTCTAAGAATTTCACATGTGGTGGTGACGGCAACAACGCCGTGAGACTTAACAGACCACTTTAGACTATATCTAGTCAAGGTGTAATAGTCGACGTGCTTACTGGGTGCTGCCAAGCCTGATAAGCAATCCAAGTCTGATAAGAGGTCACAACCAAAGACAGTATGCCCAAAAAAACAGCAAAGATGACACCGATCAACGTTGCCAGCAACATGTACCTCGCTCCACTCCTGCGCTGCAACTGTCTCTCCAGCCAACCACGGGGCTGAGGATTCTCGACCTCGCTGTAGAGGTCTGAGAGTCTGTCGGCTAAGAAGACGTAAGAAACGTTGTCTTCCCCCTCCCCTCGTATCGCTGTATGCTCGAACGCAGTAATGTCGGGGTCAAACGCGCAGTTGTCAACCAGTGACTGGAGCAGTTTCCGCGACTTTAGATCAGAGAGTGGGAATAGCACTCCTTGCAGGGAGTCTAAGACCTCTAGCACTAACTGCCGGGGCAAGGATCCGCTAACCGGGGGTGATTGTTAGAGTCACTGGGGAACTGAGGGCTTGAGGAAAAGTGCTTACACTTTAATGGATGTCATTGGATCCGACGGATCTTCCTTCCCTTTGGTAAGTTTTAACTGCTCCTTGAGGAAAGCAGTGTAATGAAAAACCTCAAGAACATTGTTCTTCCTGTCGAACCGAAGATGATTTCGCACATCATGAGTTGCTTGCAACGTTATGTGCAAGTGTTTCTTGAGCTTCGTCGCTCTCAGCTCAGACTTGACAGGGGACAAGTCGCTCCCGGCTGAACTGAATATTGGATTGGTCTGCACGGGGAAAAGATCCCGCAAGTATTGGTTGAATGGCACGTCATCCTTCCAGTGAACCTTAGAAATGCCCTTCTTAAGTCTGTTTGACGACTGATGCAAGGCCGAACAGTCAACCATGAGCAAAACCTTGACAGCAAGCGTTGTCGCAGCCTCAATATCACTCGGGGAGCTGGCTTTTCCTTGACTGACAGTATTGCTGAGCGCTATTCGTGTCATCTCCGGGTCACCTTTAAGCGCCAGGACTGCATTGTAAAGATCCTCGTGTGTCTTGAGAACTCTAGACGTTTCAGAGGATTCATTGACGTAAGCTTCTACCACTGCGGTGTAGAATTGAAAGAACCGTCGAAGTCGTTTCACGCGGGCAGCGCAAGTGGCATCAGAACATTGCTGCCCGAAGCCGCACCCCGCGCACAGCGGCCATGACCACAGAACATGGCCCAGCCGGGGGAAGATACTGTTGTCTACGCGCTCCAGCGGCACTAAAGCGATGGCGGAATTGTTCATTTGAGACATGGTTAACGACTGATTCGGATAGGAGCTTGAGGCCTCCCAAAGTTGGTCTTAGTGCCAAAACGACTTGGCTGTAGCTCAACTAGCCACGGTGGCTCCAGTGTCACGGGGCTTCGCCCGACCTAACGAATGCTGTTAAATCCTATGTGAGGGAATTTTTTAATTGGGTAAGGTGGTGGCAGTCATCACATGCGACCAGCTGTCGTGTCAAAAAGAGGGTGGCGTGGATGGTCATCATTACTTTTGCGCATCTCGGCTGTCAATTGGCTCGGAAAAACCACTATTTCATGCACAGTAGGCTCTCTGCATGGTGGCAGTGTTTCAGTCCGTCAAGTCTGCTGGCGGGGTGAGTTCATACCGCAAAAAGATGCTGCCTTCATAAGCACCTGGCTCAACGGGCGCTTTGTCTTTCCATTTCATTCAGCTGCCGATGCCTTTCGAGACACCAGAGTAATCTGTCGTCCTGTAACGCAAGCGGTCCATTGAGTGCGACGATGTTATCTGCGAAGTGGGATCTTCAAGAGCCCGCTATCACTACAGTGAATCATAGCTCAACGGCGAGGGGCATGTTATCTCCACGCTCGCACTCCGCTTCCAGCGACAAGCGACAGACTCATGCCCCGAGCTCGGCAAGGAAAAGTGCAGCTCCATCGTCCCAGCCAACCGCGCCCCAGTCACCCATAAACCAGATTTCTAAGCTGGGCTCGAGGTGCGATGGGGATGACGATTCAGGACCTGCATCAGTCTTATCAACCCAGAACTCAATCAATGACGGGCCGGTGCCTTCGGAATGCACAGGTATTCCTGTCAAAGGCTCGAACTTGAAAGCATTCAACAAAACGATCCCTGACCATCTCAAACTCCGGTTCTATGACCTCAGGCGTCTGTACGGCGGCCCTTTGTTAGAAGCAGTCCAAAGGAGGCATCTGCTAGAAGCAATTCCAATAAAAAAAAAGAGGAAGGACATCAATGTTGGAGACATAGGGATGAAGTGGAAGTACATGGGCCATAGCGAGTCCACGGTTGAGCTCTACATCGTCGTTCAATGCGACAAGACAGTCTCTAAGAAGGTCAAGGACTTCTTCGCGCAGGAGCACGTCGCCAGAGACCTCGGAACTGATTTCCGTCTCCATGTAGTCGAGGAAGCTCTCACGAGATTCGCCGCGAGTAACGATATCCGAGCTTTTGGCAATTTCAGGCTCAGAAACACACTGTGTGGCGTGAAAGTTCAGCTGAGTCTGTCTGGCATGTCTCGCACGGCTACGATTGGCGGCCTAATTATGGTCACGACAACGAAGGAAACTTTGTTCGGTATTACAGCTGGGCATCCGCTTTCCGAACTTCGAGAACAAATTGAAGAACCCCTAACCCCACCGGACGAGAGTGGAACCGATGACGGATTCGGGGACCATGAATCAGAGACGCTGCCAGAAACTGGCGGGGAGGAATCTCTCCATGGCGACTCCGCTGACGAGCATGGTCTAAGGGTTGATCTAGGGAGAGTAACCCATGATTCATTTCTGAGTGGGATGACGACTGGTGGCAACCATGATTGGGCACTTATTGAGCTGAAGCACGAGAATTGGCTTCCAAACCGTCTTGATGCGCCATCGAACTCAGAAACAGCCGGCAAAACAATAGTCCAACGTGAACGACGGGGTGATGTCGTCGACCTATTTTGCCCTGAGCAACAGTCAAATTTCTCGGTGCAACCCGCTGTTGCCATCACTTGTCGGGGCATCCAACGAGGCACTCTAACTCAGAACAACTCATCAGTCCTGATGTATCCGGGTAAAGCCTTCGTTGAAACCTTGGAATTTACTCCGGACTCAAACTCAGGTGAGCCTAGTGACGCAATAATACTTCCAGGCCTCTAACATTGTTTTAGCTCTCGGATTTGGTGATTCTGGATGCTGGGTGGTGAATGAGCTCACTGGGGAAGTCTATGGTCATATTGTGTCAATGGATGCATTTGGTGAAGCATACGTGATGCCGATTCAGGGTATGTTGAGCGACATTCAAGTGCACCTGCAGGCGGAAAAAGTCAACCTTCCCACATCAGAAGGTATAGCCCTTCTACAGAGCCTGAACACACAATCTGTGACAAAAAAAGATCAACCCATGCCTTCGAGATCTGATCTCCCCCGCCAGGCCGAAGTCCAAGATACGGTCAGCTATCCGGAAACACAACAAGAGACCGAACGAACACGTGCGCTTCTTGAAAACTCAAATCACGACGCCAGAGTCGTCTCTGATGGTGATCCAGTCCAACACAGGCTTTCTGACCGGAGCGAACTGCTGTGGCGAGAGCTTTCGCAAGAGCAAACTCAGCATGCCCATACTCGAGCCAATTTGGAGCAACACATAATGAGGGTCTCCGAAACGCTTTGGGAAACGAGGCAGACGGTGAGAGGTTTGGAGTGTGAGCTTTCGCATGAGAGGGAGATGAAGGAAGCTTTGGAGAGGCAGCTTTCGCATGAGAGGGAGATGAAGGAAGCTTTGGAGAGGCAGCTTTCGAACGAGAGAAAGGTGTGGAAAGGTTTGGAGAGGGAGCTTTTCGAGAGGGAGAGAAGGAAAGGTCTGGAGACTGCAGAGAAGAGGGAGAGTTCGGAGGAGAGGAAGGAGAGGGCGAGGAAGCGTTTGCACGAAGGGTCCACGATCCACATTAATGAGGGCGGGACTGTGTTCAATGCTACTCGAGGCGAGACTGGCGTGTTCGGGATAGGTGGAAACAAGGGTGTCCACCGATATGAGTAAGATCCTACTAGTGCAGACAAATTATTCTGATATGGATCACAGCAGAAGGCGGGTCTTAACAGCGTACCTGTACCTCATAGCAGGAATCGGGCATTTGCAGCTAGCCGCGTGGCAATCAGGGGGCAGTTAAGTACATTCTTCCATATCATATCACAGATGAACTTCAAGGCCGATCGAGCTAGATTGGGGCCATCTCATTTACCCTGCAACGATGATCGGCCTGATCTTCCGAGAAAATCCTTGGTAGGTTCGGGATATATCCATGTGGCATGTGGCGTGAAGGAAGCGCTTGTATGAGGCGATACAGGCTATGTAAAATATTCTGAGTCACAGGACAGCCTATAACATGCATTACAGAACACGAAACCATAGGTGTCAGAAAGGACTGATGAAAGCGGCTTAGTGTGCTTCATATGAGAACAGTTGGAAGTACTCCGTATTCAGGAGTATAATCATTTGCACCGGTATTGCGTCCAGCTGTACATACCTTACACAAATGATGGCCACAGTGAGATCTTCTTGATCCACGCTCGCGTTTATCGGTTCAGCAATCGAGCAGGTGGTGTATGTGTATCCTTAAACGCAACGGCTTCTATCCTGCGCTAGCGTTGCATACTTCACTCTATTTGGGGAGAGGGTCACTGATATTTGAGGCTGCTTGGTTTCTTTTTTGAAGAAAGCGAGCACGGAGAGAATTGACAGCACTTTCTGCGGAATTAGCAGTGTGGTACATGGAGACTCTGTGCATATCAGAAGCAGAAGCCGCAAGATGCATGGGCAATGTTGGAACCTCTTGGGGCAGCCCCTCTGCCATGGTTCATCGTGCTCGCGTTCGCTCTCGTATTCTCGTAAATTCGTATAAGATGACCCGCATGTCTGAATGGCACCGGTGGCTGTGGTCTCAACCCAACATCATATTTTCATTGTCGATCTCTTCTAGATACTACAAGCGTGAACCTTCAATCTCAGTTGCTTGCCTGTCGTTGTACACGCGGGCGCCTGCAATAAACGCAATGGCTGGAATCAGAGATGGTTATGTCTCCAAGCTATACTATTATATATCTCCTCGATTCCTGCTGATTGTGATTCGGCACAGTTGAAGCAGCAGGATATGTCGTGCGTATTTTCTCCCATTTTAAGACCATCGCTCTCGGCCTTTATATCGTCGAAGACGATGTAAATTATGAAGATCAAGGCTCTAATAGAGGAATCGGTGATGGGGTCTTGGTTTCCCTCATGGAATGGCCTGTATCTGTCGTTAGACCCCGACGCACTGAATATCGAAAGGAAAAGTAAACAGATGACAACGAGCTTTCAATAAGACGATAGAATGCTAGATTACATGGACTTAGGTAAAAAACTATCTGCTCTGTTGAAGGGTGAATGCCTGCCCTCCCTGTATAATAAAACCCTCGCCGACTTTCTTTGCATGCCCCGAGACCCTATACTTCGACAAAGTGACTTTCAGTGGGCTGGGGGGAAGAATAATCCCCTTCGTGCCTGCAGGGGCGGTCACAGTCATATTAAGGAGGCCGTCATTGCCGAAAGACCAATCCACCTGAATGCTACCCTGTGGGACAGGGTGCTTACCGCGGGCGTACTCCAGGCCCAAAGTCTGTGGTTGGACCTTCCACTCCTTGAAGCCGGGCGTTACGGCCTGAACACCCAGCACGTAACGACTCAGATCAGCCGTGGGCCCGGCACCCCAGACGTGACAGAGCGAGGTGGAAGCACCAAGGCCAGGCGTACCGTCGGGATCCAAAGTCTCCCATGTGCAGGCGGTGTAGTTGGCGAGCGATGGATCGCTCATAGGGCCCCAGACGCTACGTAGGAGGCGCTCGGCACTGGTCGGATCGTTTGCATGGAAGGCAGCCTTCAGATGGTAACCAGAGGCATAGGGGCTGATCTTCCGCGCCCATCCGCTTGCCGCACTTGCATTGGAGAACGCCAGCGCACCGGCAGGGACATATAGATCCCGAGCCATGGAAGAGAGAATCGTGCTCGCGGACCGGTTTCCGATCAATGGCACAGTGTCGCTGAGGATTGCTAGGGCGTTAGCTTCCTGTGAGAAAAAGTCTTTGTGGGAATCGGAAAGATAGAATGCCTGGAGCTCGTCGCTCCAGAGATTGGTGGCGATCGCCCTTTGCAAGGATTGCAGGCGATTCGCATACATGGTAGCGTTGAGCCCTCCGTCAGCCATGTAGGGTAGCCACTGCTTCAAGGCATAGGCGTAGACAAGGTTGAATTTTGATACCACACCGCTCAGAGGAGGATCGTAGTAGTTCCAGTCGCCCCCAAAGCTTGCGTCGGAAATGTTGAGAAGCCCACTGGGTAGGGTCTGGCTGTGAGCCCAGTCGAAAAGTCGGCCTACCCTAGGCGCCCAGTGTCGTAGAAATGTTACATCCCCGGTCTGCTCGTAGTACTGCGCCATGGAACTGACTAGGCTGAAGGAGTAGCCTATCAAGCCGGTGATGTTAGCCTGGATAGGTTCCACCCGCGGCTCTTGTTGCACCTTCGCGGTAGGCGTAAAAAAACCAGGCAGCATCTGCATGGATCCAAGGAGTGCGATTGATCCGTTAATGTATTCCAGGCCATTCGTGCTGGCAAACGCCGTGCGGGCGGTGATGTCTAGGTCTCCCGCATAGGCGATGCGATCACGCCGTGAGCCATCAACGCTAACTGGGAGTGGGTTGGTGCCAAGGAGAAAGTCCTTCAGGGCAGACTTGTCTGTCAGCGACGAAGAATACATCTCCATACCGAAAGCCATCAAGGAGGCATTCGCGAACACGGCCCTGTGGCCGAAAGAGGCGCCCAGTCCAAAGGAACCGTAAAAGGCAGCTGTTTGAGAAAAGTCAAGCACTGAATTTCCATTGAGTTTGATTGAAATTTGTGTCACATTCACAGTGGCTTCGACCGTATGCCATTGGTGGAGGGTGACCGATGGGGGCAGAACAGCCGACGCCAGTGGAGGTTTTCCAATCTCTGTGGATCCTGCATGAGCAGAGATCGATGAGTTAACTACATCTACAAAGATGTAAACCCCATTCCCTAGCGTGTCACTCAACACAGTGAAGCCAAAACCATGTGCTACCGGCTTCACAGAGAAGGCGACCTTGTAAGCCGACATGGTAGCGGCAAAGTCTGCTGCAAATGGTTGAGGAGCAAGGCTATCCACCATAGCTCCTTCTTCAGTCAAAATCCAGAAATTCGGAAGAGATCTTGCAGGGAACTCGTTCAGCTGCACGGTACGCGCCCCTATCTCCCAAATCCGATTCAGCACCGGGTCCGAGCAATTAAAGGATCCTGGAAGTCCCGACAAGGGAACCTCATGCACAGCTGGCTTGAAGCCCACAAAGGATAGTTCAAGCTCCCCATCACTCGACAGGTTCAACTTCTGGTACCGTAGGGCGCCTTGGATCAGACGGTTCGTGTAGGTCTTCTGCTCCGTGATGTTATACCGATTGATGCGGTAAGTGTCCATGGCTGCAGCCAGTGGCAGGGGTCCATCCGCCTATGAAATCAGTAAAGGTCAATACATGGAACATGGTCGCATTATTCAGCATCCAACTTACCATGTACGTGTCCAACAAGGCATCTGTCTCGCTGTAGCTCATCTCGAACACGGAAGTATTGCCCGATCTCCGGGAGACATGAAATGTCCCATATCCTTCAACGTCCCGTCCATAGTCCAGAATGATGATGGATGGAGAAGTATCGTTCGAGGAAAGGGTATATGTAGTCCCGTTATGTACCGCGTGAGGAGTGCCGTGGTGGTCCCTATAGGTCAGGGGTACCAGAAGGGTGGCACACCCAGAGGTAGCCTGTAGGGCTCCTCCAAAAAGAAGAGGAGAACTGAGACGCATTTTGCTGTTGGGTCATGTAATCTGCAGCGATATGTATTCAAGAAGGGGGATATTCACCGTGTTTATATAGAAGCTTGTGTCTCATCCGTGCTGCATACCTACTCCGGAATAGGAGTCAAAGCCGGCAGGGATTCTCCACAACGGTTGAAGCCTAATTCTAGTTGGATGGATCCGTCTATACGAGTAAACGAGACCACACCTCTGAAAGTAGGTACTGCGGATCGACTCCGGATGGGCCAAAGAATAGAAGAGATAGACCCTCAGACGGATGACAGAAAAATCGGCCAAATAATATCCGTCTCCACTTAGCCCAGTGAACGTAAGACGCGAAGTTAGTTAAGAATATAGCCTCCAGCTGTGAGTCAAGTCCTACTTGCACGACGCGGAAACAATAGATGAAAGATAGACAACCAAGAAGCCGCGCCGGAAATGGCATGGAAGCTTCCTGTTGCTTTGTATTCTGCAGAATACCCATAACCTGAGATGAGGGAATGGCAAGTGAGATCGGAGCTGAACCCCGAGGGCGTTCAGTTAGCTACCACTACTACGACAGAAGAATAGGGATAAAAGCTAAGATGCATTTTAGGCCTAGGATGGAAAACCTGGTGTGTAGTATATGGAGGATGGTGGTGACATAGGAAGAAGATGAGAATGCAAGCTGATGTCCTACCTTTTACTAATGCTACGTGCAACATGCTGTTTATTGAGATATAAACTTACTATATTTTGTATAGAAGTGTCTGGATTCTGATCTTGGGAAAATGAAAGGCCATACATAGAATACATAGTTTCATGGAATGCCGGCAACAGAATACAGAAGAACAGAAGAGTACTCTACCTCTATAATATCACTTAGATGAGAAAGTACCCAATGCCTGCTAGGGATAATTGCCGTACTTTTCTCTAATCCATAGTTAATCTGGCATTGTACCTTGCATTAGTACACTCAACCCGTCTATCCTTCCAGAAATCGCTGGAAGCTAGGATCTGGCTGTAGGGTTGACACATTCCATAGTATGGACAGAGAGGTATAAGACTTACCTTTCCCAGGTCGCCCTCATTCGCAGCATAAAGAAAGAATTATCTTTATGGTCTGGGTCTATGATCTAGAAAGATTAGATCATCTTGTCAAAAGGTTCAATACCATACTCTTTGCCATAGGTTGTGTCCTGATGCTGAGTGACCCTGCGCAAGTTCTGGATTGAGCAGTTATCAGAGCACTATTAATGCAGAACTTTGAATAATTGCTTTTCTCCAGAAGACCTCTTTGAAAGCATTGCTGACAGCAAACCAATATTTTAAAGCTGGCTTGATGTATTATCCTAGTCTCATGAGCCATGGTTGAGATAGATTACTAGCCATATATAAAACTCTATAGAAGCCAGCCTGTATTTCCATCTTATGTTCTCTCTTCACCCTCTCTAGCTTTCTGAACTTGTATATTATAGTCAAGCTTATGGAGCCCACAGATGCGCGATGGCATCTGCTGTGATAATTCTTTGCAAGACGCCATGAATCCGGACCCCGCGGGAGCCGCCCTTGCCCATGACGTTGGTTGATTTGATGTTGATTGATTTGCAGGGGTACCTAAAGATCCAAATCCGCGGCATTATAGTCGGGAAATACTTAATCTGGCCTGCCGCTGTACCTGAGCAACCGACCATATTAAATGCCCAGAGAAAACCCGATCAGGTGAGTGGAGGTTCGCGGACCCTTGACGTTGCACTCCATGGTTTCTATTCCTAGGGAAGTGCGGAAATTATTCTGATAGCCCTTGCAGTGTTCTTCAGCGTTTCCAGTCTAAACTGGGCATACTGATACTGTGAACCCTATTCGTAGTCCTACATCTATACCACGCTCAGGCTCACCATGGCTTTGGCCAATTGCCGGAGATTTGACTTGAACCTGCGTCGCAGGATAATCGAAATTGAGAGGGTTAGCTGGATAGGTGAAGCCGTGCTTTAAGTGTGACATTGGATGATTAAGTTAAAGTAGGTCGGTAGAAATGTTCCAGGCAACCACGAAGGACTGCAATGTCAGACTTGATGTTTTAACAGCCTGTAATATGTTGAATTCGGTTGCTTTAGCAAAGTTTCGAAACCACTAGCAATTTATATGGCAGGTGGAAATCCAGTGAAGTCCAACTCTTCTAAATGAATGGCTATCTATTACCTGTTTATGCCTGCACATGGCAGTGCCAGATGGATTCGTATGCTTCTAAATTGGGGCTGTATCATAATCTATAATCTTTCTTCGGGCTTTGTACCCATACAATAATCAACTCACTCTTGAACCTTTCAATGACACTTTCCAGCATCTTAATACCATCCGTCCATAATTTCCTGACCTCCTGTTCTAATTGCCGCTTTGAGAGATCAGCATAGTAAAATGCCGATGTCTTCCATTCTACTCCGTAAAAGGATCTTCTTAGCGAAGTCCTGGGTTTTCCGGATGAGCCTGAAATCTATCAATTAACCTTTTCTAATAGGTCTGTTATGACGAGGATTTACTGTATTATGTACTGTAGCAGAATGCAGAGTATCACCGAAGACCGAGCTGCCCCCCCCCCCCCCCCCCTCCCCCCGGCCTACTTTATTCGAAAAATAACCCCGAATTTCTTCCACAATCTTCTCTCCTCGTTATGCTGACCAGGCATATTTGATGTCCGACCGTTTCAGTCAACACCGAACACCTTCCACCCAGCGGCAGACCTTAGCGCCCGCAATGATGGATCAGAATGCAGACCAAGTCACTCAGGCGAAGACCTGTAAATCCTGTGACCAATGCAGGAGCCGGAAAGTCCGTTGCATCAGTACGTTGGCCTCAAGCCCCGTTTCTCTGAGAAACAAGCAAAATGTAATTGCCTCTATTCTTAGTGGACCCCGGACAACGTTCCCGATGCACCCACTGCATTGTAAGATGGTGATCTATATCGGCCGCTGATCCTAACACGGCTTGTGCATTTAGAAGCGGAATGAGACCTGTCATTTCACCCAGACCAAGCGTAAGCCGAGGACAAAAGTCTCTGAAAGCAGCAGTATGTATTCGCAACCGCGAAATCCGGTCTATCTCAATTTTACGGTCTGGACCCTAAAAAGCTGTGTAGATGCGACAACTGCTCGGCTCCGCACACTGCTCTCAGAGCCCTTGAATGAGAAAATCCGCATCCAGCCGATCGTCTCGCCCATATTTCTTGACCAGATGTTGGAAAATCACGGTAGTAGAGGGATGCTGCGGGATAATTCGGCCTTGCTAAGGGTCAGTTACAAAACACTGCCTGATTATTCACCTTAGCCTGACCGAATACCGTACACCAGGCACCTGACCATGACGGTATGCTGTCGCCCTATTCCACATCTGAATCGGGGTCCCTTCTCTGACAGCTCTCCCTCCAAGTGACTAGTTCCAGCCTTGCCTTTTTTACGGAGTGTCGAATCCGCTCTCTGTCGCAAAGGTTAGGGAATGACAGGCTCAACGAGCTGGTGGAGACCATCGAATCTGTCATTCGATCGCGGCTTCTCGCCGAGGGCCCATCCTCTATATCGCTTGTTACTTTCGGAAAGCCGTCTGATATTGAGCATGTTCCGCTGGACAAGGCCAGGCTGTACGTCGACTGTGAGTTTATTTTCTTAGTCTATTTTCCTCATTTCGAAACACCTTTCCCCCCGGCCATCCTCTGTTGACAAACTTGGATTATAATTGTATAGCTTACTTCCGCCAACTGCACCCGATCTACCCTTTCCTCGATCGCAAAGACTTCGAGGATAAGGTATTTGGGCCCAATCGGTCTGAACTTCTGAGTTCCAGCTGTGCGTTCTCGGCTCTATATCACGCTGTCCTGGCTCTGGGATGCCAGTACCATGAAGGCGGAGCGTTTGACCCAGGGAATGGCAGGGCATGGAAGCTTTTCCAGGTTTCTTTAGGTCTTGTATCGGATATATTGATTCCGAGGGAAGCCTTGATGAGTCTTCAAGTACGTTATATGTGTAATGACTTTGGGTTTGGCTAATAAAAGAGAACTAGGCCCTGGTTGCCATGGTAAGGCCGTAACCCCGAGATAAAGGTTATAAGGCGATATGAAGGGAGTAACTGATCCTTTGATTCCTGGTATCCAGTCGATATTCGCCATGACTACCTGCTGTCTTCAGATCGACGAAGTCTTGCTCATGGAAGCCGCGCGAATGGCCCAATGCCTCGGTTACCACAGAGCACTGCGCAACGGGGACCAGCGACTCAAAAACACCTGTCACAGGACCTTCTGGGTGATATATTACCTGGAGAAGCAAATGTGTTTCCAGCACCATCAAGGCTCGGTAGGTGGCTTGAAACTCATAACATCGTCCCTCTGGCCTAGAGACAGACGGGATGAGCATCCATTGACCTCAAACCAGATGATTTCAGACTACAACATCGGGTGTCCCGTCCCCGACGTCCCAGAATCCGTCTTCGGAGGATACAACTGGTTCCTGTCCGCCATCGGCTTCGGGCGAATACTCTCACTTGCGTACACGTCTCTCTTCTCGGTGAGCGCTGCAATTCAAACCACGGAGGCGTACTACGTCGCGATCGAGGAGATTGAGGCTCGGTTGGAACGATGGCGAACGGCAGTACCCGTGGAGTTTCGACCTGGTATGCCGTTTGAAGTACCGAATGCGCCTTCTGATCCTTCCTTCCTCGAACCGAGTTTCAAGATGGTCGTGCTCCAGACCAGCTTTTCCTACTACGGTTTGGTCATCGCCTTGGCGAGACTCAAGATGTATATAGGCCGACAAGACCAGTCCCGAACGCAGGGAAAGAGCAAGCGACTGCTGATGGATACAGCACGATCTGTCGTGGAGGCAAGCAAGAACATCGACATGGCTGCCCACACGCCGATTTTGTAAGCAGCAGGACCTCTCCCAGGACAAGACAGTTGATTTGAACGTGGTTGCCGTGCCATAAACTGACCTCCGACGTTAGCATTCTGGCTGTTTTACCTCTTGCAGCACTGTTCATCCTGTTTGATTTCGTCATCCACAACCCAACGCATCCGGAAACGCGCAATAACCTATCACTGTTGGACGTAGCGGCCGGCCATTTCAGTCTGTTAGATTACAAGTCCGGAGGGTCCATACCCGCGTCACTGTTAACCGAGTTTGCTCATATCGCACGGCAGTATGTCAAGGATTTTGGCAGTAAACAGCAGCAGCAGCAACAAGAAGAAGACAAAGAAGAAGAGCACTGTCAACTAGGCTCTTCAAACATCGAATCCGTATTTGCTGCAGAGGTATGCCACTGTCCTGGATCATATAACAACCTCATTTCCTTTCTAACTTCAACGAGGTTCCCACGCAGTTAAATCAAACCAACAGCCATAGCAATGTTAGTAATGTCAGGTTCCAAGATGATATCATGGAGTCCTGGGAACCAAGTGACTATCTATACTATCCCATAATGGCGGACACCACTGTGCATGGCGGCGCGCCTGAGAATCTGACAACAGCTTCCTTGAATATTCAGAGCTTGTTTGGGTTTTTGGTTCCAGAATTTGGACACGATCAGTAGAGATAGAAACTATCAAAATGAATTATTTAGGATTCTCCTATCAAAAAGTGGCCTATTCTCGAAAGACTACTCTGTAAAAATAGATTAGATATTGCTAATATCAAATTTACACATGAGTCAACCAGAATAGGACACAATGCGCATCTAGAATATCTCTGTAACATATCACTCCTGAGGCAACGCCCCTAGCATATTCTCTAAAGCGGTCTGGACCCCCTTGGCCAGATTCCCCGAACCGCAGACGTAGACTTTCGCATTCTGAGCCCAGAGATCTTGGATTGCTTCGGCTTCTGTCACCAACCGGTGTTGCACATACCGGGATCCCTTGGCCAGGTCATGGTCCGGGGCTTTACTGTACGCTCTGCGAACCTCGACCACGCCAGCGGATTCAAACTCGGATAATTCCTCATGGTAAAGATCATCCAGATGGGGACCTCGACAGCCGAAGAACAGCAGCGCCTTTGCGAGTGGTTTGCCCTGCTGTAGCCAGACCATGCGCTCTTGGATAAAGCTAAGGACGGGGGCAAGACCGGTCCCCGCGCAGATCATGATGATGGGTTCGCTGGACTGGTCCATCGGGAGATGGAAAGCGTCTTTGGCGGGTCGCGGCGATATGTAGAGAATGGACCCTAATGTGAGCGAGGCAAGGTAGTTCGATCCGACGCCCAGATACTGTCCATTGCCACTCCATGCTGGCTCGTTGACGACGGAGAAGGTGAGCGAACCGTGAGAAGGCTTGAATGAGGGGGCCATGGAAAGGGAGTACGTCCGGACGCGCAAAGCCGGGAGCATGGAGATAAATGCCGCGAGAGGAAGTGAGATGGAGGGGAATTGTTCAAGCAGATCCGAAACCGAGACGCGCTTGTCCCGGACGAGTGGATCGTTGGAATCATGGAAACGGATCAGCTCTTGTTTGTCTGCATTAGACAGTGCGGTTGCGGCGAGTGCTTTGAGGTTCTGGGGTTTCTTCAGTTAGTCCAAGTGCACCGAGTTTAAGTCAAGTTGGACAAGGTCCTTAAGAACGTACATTTCGCGTTGCCGGTTGGGACAGCTCTACGTATGAGCTAAACAGCTCGGCCGCCAACACAGGTGTGGCGTGGGGTAGACCAAGCGTGTTGAACGAGTTGATAGTGATACTGTAGTCCGGTGCGAGATCGAAATGAGCTAGGACTCTTGAGACCGTGCTAGGCGGATTGGCCGGGAGGATATTGAGATGATCGCCTGGACGCAAGGTGGTTTCACCCTGGATGCGGAATTCCACATGTTGCTTCTCCAGGGTCCCCGGGCTGGTTAGGATCCGGACGGCAGTCACTTTCACCTCCACGAGGCCCTGGTGCATGCCCACCCTCCTGGGCTTGCTCAAGCTAATTTGAAGCTGCTGCGGGTTGAGTAGCTCGACGTCGCTGCTGCTGGACGGGAGGAATGTCTCGCGGAGGGCGGGCAGCAGGCTTGTCTCTTCACACTTTTCGAGGTCCGAGAAGAGATCGCTGACAGCAGCGTTGGCTGCGCCTCGCGCCGCAAGACGTGTGGCTCCAGCCTTGTGCATCATGTCATCAATCAAGATCGGGACGCGATAGAATGTTTTGGTCCAGTCCTGGTGGCCGCAGCCGAAGACTGCATAGGAGACACCTTGGAGAGCGGGGACCTTGCCGCTTTCCAGCCAAGCAATAAACTTCTTCGCGTCGTCCGTGGGTTGCCCATCGTAGGTGGTTGTTACAATGATCACTGGCTGATCTCTCGGCAGGTTGTCGACGGCACTGTCGAGCGGGGCAAGCTTCTGGTTGGTAAAGCCACGGGCCATCATGTTCGACGCCAACCGGTGGGCGAGGGCTTTGCAAGTTCCGCTGTTGGAGCCGTAGAAGAAGGAAACCGGCTGCCCTCCTGCCGGCTCCAGGCCTTTGCATTTCCCGGCGAGATGAGTTGACGATGCCGCCGAGGTCCCATCAGCGCTCACCGACATACTTCGCCTGGATAGCCCAGTGGCACTCTGGCCGCGGCGCAACGTGGCTCGGAGCCGGAAGCCATCGGGCTTGATGGTGAGAGTCTCTTTGATGCGGAGTTTGTAGGATGGGTCATTGCCCACCAAGTCAAACGTTTGAAGGATCATGGCAACCACCAGTTGGGCTTCCTGCCAGGCAAAGGCCCTGCCAATGCAGCTGCGTTCGCCGTTGCCAAATGGCTTCCACGAGTTCGGCGGGAGCTGAGAGAAATTCTCTTCCAGCATGCGTTCAGGGCGGAACTCGCCCGCGTCAGGCCCAAAGACGGCTTGGTCACGCAGGCAGGCAGGCAGCAGGACGATGACGGCCTGTCTGGCATTGATCGTCCATTTCCCGCCCAGCACCTCCGGCTTCTTTGGAAAGACGGCGAAGGCTGGGGCGGTCGGCATCAGGCGCAGAGTCTCCTTCAAAATGGCGTCGATGTATGGAAGCTTTGCGAGATGCTGCACCGTGATCTAGTCCACGCCGACGACATCATCGACTTCGTTCCGGGCCTGCTCCAAGATGTGCGGGTTTTGCAGCAGGTAGTAAAACGTGAACGAGAGCAGGCCGGAGGTGGTCTCATGGCCCGCAATCAAAAAGGTGATGACATTGTCAATGATCGAGTCATCGGTCATGCCTTCGCCAGTGACTGGGTCCCGCCCACTCAACAGTGTGTTCAAGAGGTCATCGACTGACTCCCCTTTATCTCTGCGCCCTTGGATGATTTCGCGGGCTATGCTCCTCATCGCCTCGATGTTCTTAGACATGCGCCGCTGGGCCGTGACGCGCAGGGAGTTTGCGATCCCGGGAAGCATGGCTTGGACATCGGCTTCCCTCAGCACGTCCACCATGTATTGAACAAATGGGTGCATAGTCTCGCTATTATAAAAGCTGTTCAGCCGAAACCCCATCGAGCAGAGGGCGATAGTGTCTAATGTGAGGCGCGTAAAGTCATCAGTGATATTGATACTGGTCGAACCTCCTTGGCGGGCCCTGCATCAACAACCAAATAAAACCGCTCAGTCAGCCGTTTTCTACTTCTCATGCTCTTCCTAGAGCTAATATTCAGGAATCCCTACCACTTGAAACATAACTGTTGCGCTATATCACTCATGTCCTCGAACATGTTCCGGATACGTAGCGGGCCAAAGGCAGGCACCAGAATGCGATGAGCAATGCCCCAGCCACGCTCTCCGTGGTAGGCTGTAAAGAGGCCATCGTTGACCAGCATTCGTAAGTTCTGGACTCCAGCGACAACGGCCTTGTGGAAACGGGATTCGTCGCAGAGCTCATCGACCAGAGCCTGGCTGGTCGCAAAGATCTGCTTTTCGCCGTTGATAGTGATTTGAAAGAGGGGTCCTGGGATAAATGATTAGTGATGGTGGTTTTCTCTTTGCGTCAGACAGGACAGCGAAGCGTACCGAAATTGTTGGCCATTTCGATAATGGATTCTAGGCCATGCTCGAAGTCGATGTCGAATAGATTTCCCACCACGGGCAGGGCTGAATAAACTGCCAGTCAGCAAAACAACAGCAACAACGTCGTTTCGGATGATAGTGCTGGTTCTAGGCTCACGTTTGGGCCCGGGAATCCGTTCCGTGTCTTTCATCGCTTTCTGCGGGATAGCAATTATCTGGTTTGGGAATGTTACGACTGGGCGAATGAATGGATGGAGCAGAGTTTTGAATGGGCGTTGCCCCTGCTTATATACTGCAGTGCCTTCCAGCAACATGGCATAGCCTCGTAGAATGAACTACTCATGACTTCATTTGTCTACAGACACCGAAGAGGAGCGCTATCATTGCGTGTCGAGGTACTTCTCGGGGCTCGGTATTCGGTGGCCCATATGAAACTTCTTCTGAAACACTCCCTCGGTAGGGTCCGCACCGAAATGAGTGATCTGCAACTATCGTAGTGAGGCGCGGTTAATTACCCCGGAGCTAGGCATCCATAATAGTTATCCTGGAACAACTTTCGATGTTGATAGGGGAGAATAGTGCCTGACATTGGTCCATTTCACATCTCCTACACTAAGTGAGGTCGTTGTATTCCGCAGAGCTGCATTGTTGAAGAGAGAGAGATATATATATATATATAAAGAAATAGAATCAAGCTCAATCTCCCAAAACGGAGGACTGTACTCGGGGCTTCCCGGTCACATCACTGGATAACCAATTCACTGTCCTCCGTAGCGCATTAGGTTGCTTGCTTCCTCCTCGGTGGTATCAGCAGTCTCCGAAATGTCCTGCACCTCTCTCTGCAGCTGCTGGGTCAATCGTACTCCTCCCCAGAAATGCTTCTCTCGCCTCAACTCCACCCGAATCCAGATCACCATCACCACAGCCCAGATCCCTGCCCAAATAGCAGGCACTGACCAGCCAAGCTGCAACACGTCAGTATCTCGCCATGATATCACACCTCGGAGATTAGAACACATACCGTGTAAGCCAGCTCATTGTCAGCAATCACAATTCCCGCCAACGTCCCCCCCGCCACCAGCATCTGAGGAATCACCCATAGCATCGTCAATCGGTGCAACATGCCGCGAAAGGGAGGACTGGCCCTGTACCGCTGATCCAGAAGGGCCCGGAACCCGGTTCCTCCTTTGCCATCCACCGCGACGATATCCTCCAGAAGCGGATAGAGGGCGGGACGCATTGGGTCGCCTTTCGGAATAGAGGAGATGCGGAACGAGGTAGGCCTCTTAAAGACGTACAGGGCTTCGAAAACTAGCATCTCGATAGCAAAATTGAAGAAGAGCGAAGGCACCGGCATGGCCAGCATGCGCATCCAGGGTGGATCGGGTATGGTTCCGACGACGAGTTCGGCGATGATGATGACCCAGGAGACGAGGACGTTCCAGTGGGTGAAATCAAACTACAGGGATTGAAATTAGAGGAATTGTCACGGGAGGGACATGAGAAAGAGAAAATTGTTGGGAAGGATTCACATAGCAGCGGCCTGCGTTGGGAACTCGACAGCTAGAGTTCTTCCGCCACAGACTCCACGATCTCTGTAATGACTCCATAATGAATGTTCCGAACAAGGTCATGGTTATTATACTGAAGACTGCGGAAGGAAACGGCTGGTTAGATCTCAACAGCACAAAGTCTCGACGTTAGCGTACTAGTCGTGGTGGACCATGTCGTGCATCTGGTCAGGAGATAGTAGAGCCCGATGGGAAAGACAACCGAGTCCAAAAACACCAGCAGCCAAAAGATCAAGATGCGGAATTTCCGTTTTGCCAGGTTGTAGTTCAACGGTAGAGGCTCTAAGAATTGCTGTGTATCCGACATCTTGTTTTTTTTGCGGGTGAATGCATAGCAGAGGAAGGAAAAATCCAGAAGAATAGAAACAGAGAAAGTACTATTATGCTGCGACTGTTCTACGGAGACGGTGCGTTCATTATCTCCCCCGTACCTGCAGGATTTCCTCCGCCGCGTCATCTCTTGAAGACGCGTAAGTTTCAAGGTAGTGTTTCACTCGACGTTCCTGGGAGGCCTTGGGTGAGGCGAAGCAATCCGTCCTTTTTTAGTTTCACCGAACACCGAGCAATATCTGACCTGCAGTTCCTGACTGAAACTCCATTCCTTGATGATGCCACGGAAGAGGATGTCCTTCTAGAAGGTGGACGAGTGCTTCGAGTATTAAATCCCATCGGTGCGCCGAAGACATGCGAGGAGAAAATAAAACGGAAAAAGCAAGTCTCAGCAAGGTTTCCTGCACTTGAACTGAGATCTTCCACGCAACCATGGCAAAGAGCACTCCTTCAGCAAACCACCCCAGCGCCATGAACACCGAGTTCCCCTGGGAGTCCAGACCCAACGGGGAAGAAGAAGAACAAGAAAAAGAGCACAATGATGTCGACCGAACGATTCAAAGATTGGCAAGCCGCATCTCAAGAAGCACCGTGGCCACGGAATCAGCCGAACCTTACAACGATATTTTCCAGGTGCATTTCCCGATGCTGTCGGTGGGAGACACGCTCTTGTTCGCAGCTTGTGCCAGAGCACCGCGACAGTTGCCGGCCGGGCTGAAGGCCCAGGAATACTCCATGCTCCTGCGAGACGTCATTATGGCCATTTTCGGTATCTCGCATACGGCGAACACAGTGGTCGGGAATGACTTCATTCGGGGAGTTAGTGGAGGAGAACGAAAACGGGTGAGCATTGCCGAAGCAGCACTGAGCGATGCCGCGTTGCAATGCTGGGACAACAGTACGCGCGGGCTGGGCAGCGCCAATGCAGTGGAATTCTGCAGAACGCTTCGTACAGCCACCGAACTTCTACAATCATCCGTCCTGGTCTCCCTCTATCAAGCGCCGCAGGAGGCATATGAGGTAGGCGTTTACCTACCCCTACCCCCCGCCCCCTCTCTCCCCTACTCTTCGTATCAGTGAGAAACATCTTGGCTTACCAGAAGCATGCGAAAGCTTTTCGACAACGTCACGGTGCTGTATGAAGGACGGCAAATCTTCTTTGGACCGACATCTGAAGCACGCGTATATTTTGAAGAGTTGGGTTTTCAGTGTAAGATTCCAGGATGTCTTGACCCGTGTCCTGCTTGCAGTTCCCAACGCGTATAATATCTAGGCCCCCAGCAGCAGACGATACCGGACTTCCTCACCTCAATGACCAGCCCGAAGGAACGTCGCGTGCGACCAGGGTTTGAAAATAAAGTCCCCCGCACAGCAATGGAGTTTGAGGAAAGATGGAAGACGAGTCATCAGCACCAGCAGCTGATGCTTCGCATTGAGGCGTACGAAAGCAAATTTAACCTGGGAGGCGAATCTCGGGACGGCTTTGTGGCCTCGCGCAGGGCCCAGCAGGCGAGCGGCCAAAGAATGAAATCCCCGTATACGCTGTCGTACATGCAACAAACTTCTTTGTGTCTCTGGCGCGGTTGGAAGCGCCTGCTTGCGGATCCCTCACTAACGTATATCCAGCTTGGCGGCAGTACCATCATGGCTCTGGTCTTGGGAAGCATCTTCTTCAATCTGCACGACGACACGAACAGCTTCTACGGCCGAGGAGGGTTGATCTTCTTTCCTCTCCTTCTAAGCCCCTTTGCCAGTGTTCTCGAGGTAAGGACCAACCGATTTACCACTGTTTCTCTAACCATCTCCAGATCTTGACGCTATACGAGCAACGGCCGGTTGTGGAGAAACACAAACAATTTGCTCTCTACCACCCATCTGCAGAGGCTCTCGCCAGCATGCTGACCAATATCCCATATAAATTGCTCAATACCTTTTGCTTCAATCTAACGTTGTATCTCATGGCAAACCTACGGCGAGAGGCCGGGGCCGTGTTCTTTTTCCTTTTTGTGGCTTTTCTCAGCACTTTTGTGACATCCAGTCTGTTTCGGACGATTGCATCCGTGTCGCGTACCATGTCGCAGGCGCTGGTGCCAGCCGCTTTACTGGTCCTAGGTTTGATCATGTACACTGGCTTCACGATGCCAACCATGTACATGCCAGGATGGTCGCGGTGGATGGCTTATGTCAACCCGCTCAGTTACGCCGTCGAGTCTCTGATGATCAATGAATTTCAGAATCGCGAATTCTCGTGCTCTGTCATCGTCCCCTCAGGGCCGGACTACAGCACCGTTGGCATCGACAACCGGGCATGTGCGGAGGTCGGAAACACAGTCGGCTCAACCACAATCCGGGGAAACATATACCTCAACGATAAGTTCAACTATTACCATTCCAACAAGTGGCGGTAAGCTTTTTCCATCATCCTTGTGCGAGCCATTCGGTCTAGATAGGAAAAAGCCATTGACGTTCCACTAGTAACGTGGGAGTTTTGATTGCGTTCTGGTTCATGTTCACGGCCACATACCTGGCCGCGATTGAGCTGCTCAGTATGGCTAAGAGCAAGGGTGAAGTTCTCATTTTCCGCCGCGAACATTTTGTCAACAAGAAATCTACCCGTCGAATGGCAGAGGCCGGCGACGAAGAGGCCCTCGGTTCCCAAATGGCCACGATGGCGCGGTCAGATGAGACGGAAAAGACGCATGCTCCACCCCGCGAGGGCCAGATCTTCCAATGGCAAGACGTATGCTACGATATCAAGAATAAAGGGGAGGTCCGGCGTATCCTAGACCACGTCGACGGATGGGTGCAACCTGGAACTTTGACCGCTTTGATGGTATGTGTACAGATGTCACTATCAGTTCCAGCGCTTTGATAAGCCTAGCACAAGATCAATCCCAGGGTGTCTTCGGTGCCGGCAAAACAACCCTCCTCAACGTCCTCGCCAATCGTGTGACTACCGGCGTCGTTACCGGTGACATGCTCGTCGACGGTATGCCCAGTGATGCTTCCTTCCAGCGCAAAACAGGCTACGTGCAGCAGCAGGATGTCCATCTCTCAACGTGCAGTGTGCGAGAGTCGCTCGAGTTCAGTGCACTTCTCCGCCAGCCTGCGACTGTGTCGCGGGGGGCGAAGCTCGCATACGTGAAGGAAGTGATCAGCCTCCTTGAGATGGAAGAGTACGCGGACGCCATTGTTGGCACCCCCGGTGAAGGGTTGAACATCGAACAGCGCCGACGTCTCACCATCGGCATTGAACTGGCCGCGAAGCCCGAACTGCTCCTTTTTCTGGACGAACCAACTTCCGGACTGGATTCACAGACCTCGTGGGTTATTTGCCAACTGCTGAAACGACTAGCACGTAGTGGCCAGGCGATTCTGTGCACGATCCACCAGCCGTCTGCCATTCTTTTCCAGCAATTTGATAACTTGCTGCTTCTCGCGAAAGGTGGCAAAACTGTATACTTTGGAGGTTTGTCGTCTGCGCTCTCTCCCTCTTTTTCCAACACAGGATAGCAAACATGCATATACTAACGATGAATATCATTTTCTTTGCCAGGGATCGGCCAACACTCGGCCACTCTCACCCAATATCTGGAGTACAATGGAGGAAAGCAGTGTCCTCCTGGTGCCAGCCCGGCCGAGTGGATGTTGGAAGTGATCGGCGCCGCGCCCGGATCCCAAACCACTGTCGACTGGCCGAAGGTCTGGCGAGACTCGCATGAGTATCAGTCGGTCAAGGCGAAATTGCGCGAAATCCGAACATCGAGGGCTACCGTAGGCGGCAAGCTGCAAACGCAGGCATTCAGTCAGTTAAACAACGGTGCTTATGCCTCGCCTTTTGCACAGCAGTGGTGGCTCGTTCAGAAACGTGTCGCGGCGCAATACTGGCGAACCCCGTCATATATCTATTCCAAAATCGCCCTTACAGTGGGCTCGGTGTGTACCCTCCAGTAGGGCAAAGCTGCCTTAGAAACCATCTTCAGGTCTAGTATCTAGCTGACGCCCATTCGCAGACTTTAATCATTGGTTTCAGCTTTTACAATGCGCCCAACACCGTCCAAGGGCTCCAGAATCAGATGTACGCCGTGGTGATGTTATTGAGTATGTTCGGACAACTGAGCGAGCAGATAATGCCTCAATTTATCAATCAGAGGGATGTTTACGAGGCGCGCGAGCGACCATCCAAGATATATGATTGGAAAGGTACGGATTGAGATCAATCTTGGAAAGAAAGGCTCACACAAACACACCGGACTAACATTATAAGTTAGTCTCCATGCTGAGCAACATTATGATCGAGATCTTCTGGAACACCCTGATGGCCGTGATGGCCTACTTCTGCTGGTACTACCCTATCGGACTATACCAGAACGCCGTTTCGGCGCACGAAGTCACCTCGCGCGGGTGTCTGGTGTTCCTGTATATCTGGGCCTTCATGATGTTCACTAGTACCTTTACTCACGTCCTTATTGCTGGGATAGACAGCGCCGATTCGGCTAGTAGCGTTGGAAATATCAGCTATAGGATGTGTATCACTTTTTGCGGGTATGTACTTTTTGCCTCCCCTCCCCCCTCCTTCGGAGCCTATAAGCCTACCCTGTCCGTCTTACGGTAAATGATGGCGCTAACTAATCACTCCGACAACGAACACAGCGTTCTTGTCAAAAAGGTTTCCTTGCCCGGATTCTGGACATTCACGTACTACGTCTCCCCGTTCACCTGGCTCGCCTCCGGTCTTCTCTCAACCGGTGTAGCGAACGCGGAGATTGTGTGCGCACCCAATATGTCAAGTTTCTCCCACTGGCAGGCCACACGTGCGGCTCGTACATGGCCCACTACATCTCCTTATCTGGCGGGTATTTAGTCGATCCAAACAGCACCGAGCACTGTGAATTTTGTCCACTGAGTAGTACAAACGACTATCTCAGTACGGTCAACGTCCAATTCGAGGATCGCTGGAGGAATTTGGGCCTCGTTCTGGTGTATGTTGTGGTTAATGCCGTGGGGGCTTTAGCTGTGTATGGGCTGGTTCGAGTGCCAAAGAGGAGCGGAAGGTAGATTTAAGGGCATGAGGGGGAAGGAAGATCTGTAGACTAAAAACGGCGTCTTATAGCCGGACATATCGGGGTGAGAATGATACATTGGGGTGCCGCACAGGAATCTAGCTGTACTTTTCTACTTATTCAATCCAATCACTGGTCTTATCCTTCTACCTTTCATCAATCAATCAAAACATATCATAACTTACAGGATTGTTGCTACGCCGGTCTGCGCTACTACATAGTTAAAATTTGTAAGAGCAATGAAATTACTTCGATCTAGAGAGTATATGTGGTTGTTGTCTTTTATTGCGAGGGATCTAGTGGATGGTAAAAAAAAAATATATGCTTCGCTTTCACAAGTTGTAATGTATCTTCAGCTGGCTTCAAATCACTTCTGCACCCATTCAATGACTCTTTCCAGCATCTTAATACCATCCGTCAAATTATCTAATTTTCTGACCTCCTGTTCTAGTTGCTGTTTTGAAGAATTGGTATTGTAACTGCCGTTGTCTTCTAAAAGGATCTTCTTGGCGAAGTCCTTCTGGATTTCCGGATGAGCCTGAAAGGAGAGGACAGAATATGCTTGTTGATCCAGGAAGATTCGCGGTTCTCGGCCAAGCTGATGAGATCTGGAGCTGCTGCGGCTACTTCGCGGACGTGAAATTCGGGCGCCCTGTTCAGAGTTATGAATGACATGATAGTATCAAGGAAAGGAGAATTGAGCTGAACTTACGAAGAAACCATTAGGGGCAGCGGAAGGAAGAACTTTTAGCGTGCCTCTGTTAATTTTATATCCTGAATTGCCGCCTGTTCCACATCATCAGCTCATATTCAACACCCGGTGCTTGCAGAATTATATTACAATAGGACCAGATGCACAGCTTTGACCTCGCCACCGAATGCTCTAGCAGTGGCTTGATGACCCCACAGATACCAAGAATTTTAATAGACGGGCATCTCTGTGCAGTACTTTGAATGAAGTTCAAGACACCCAGTACCCAAGGCTCTCATGAGGATGCATCAGCCTTGCCTCCACTGAGAATGATCAGGTGGTAGCGTTGAGGGTCTGGAAAGTTAGCGTCCATAACAGGGTCATAAAAGTCCACCTGTGCCTCCGGAGCGACAATTCTAAAGATATCGATAAATGACTGCCTCACTTCATACCAAAACTCATCGCCAGGCGGGCTGTTGAGTAGAACAGCAATATGTACGACGCTCGTTGGCCCCATGGTGATTAAATGGCTCATTATAGAACACTGAAGATATGAAGCTGTTGAGTTGCAAAGACGTGACGGATTACGCCATCTCGAAGTAGAAGCTTCACATTTATATGCATCCATATGACCTGGCCATATTGGGAAGCTAAGCTTCAGAACCGATACCCGCCAAGTGGAGTACCAAGGTCCCACGAGGCTTTTGCCTGAAGGGGTCCATTAATTACCGAATCAGGTGTGCAATATCCGTGCCTTTGGCGCACCCACTCCGGCATGGATATCTTAACCATGCTTAAATATGCTATTTATATCAAGAAGTAGGTCTTCCTGCAGTACCCTATATTAGATAAGATGATTATAGATCTCATAACGTAATTCCCAGGTGAGCTGCCCACCCGGGCGAGCTACCCATGTCTATATACCATATAATGCTCTTCGAGACTAGGTCACAGAAGTGGATATACCCGTAATGTTACCGGCCGTGCTTGTCAGCGCTGCGCTTTGATGGAAGCAGGTAAGACGAACTCTACCTGGTAAGTATTAATACTTACTGACAATGCTGGTGCAGATAAGCATCATTAAGTGACATAAGATTTCGGAATGCTCCAGCAAAAGCCGCGTACTGCCCCGTTCTGCCTCGGCGATAAATCTTTAAAACCTCCAAAACGGATGGAGCAGTTCTTGGATCGACCGGCGTGGTTTGCGCACGTCGGTTCCGTTCTCTCTCCCCAAGCGCTGGACGGTAGATTCCATTGCCACAATCCCGCTTGCGCTCTAGAACTGGACAGTCTGGCCAAATTAGAATATCACTTGAAAGATGTCCACTGCTATGCTGCACCACGTGGAAAGAAGAGGGGTTGGGCAAAATGTCTTTAAAGGAGAATCTTCATATCTTTGTTCTATAATGGATAGCTCTATATTCGGCGTGTGCGGAAGTCAAACAATGTCTGTTGTACCAATCGGTGGTGGTCCATCTCTCTAGGGCTAACTGCTATGTGACTGGTCGGATTCACCATGTGTTTACGTGTCAACCGGAGGCGTCTCATGTTCATTGCCAAGACCTGGAGAGGATGAGTCTGGATGACCTTTTTATCTGCTAGTTTTAGATGAATTCAAGCCCTTGCACAGTCCCAATTTAGCGGTAAATCACGCAGTATTAGAGACACTAGTACCTTGACATCACGTCATCAGTCAGTCGAGCATGTGTATTTGTATGGAGTACATCATGATAAGTACCACCTCACGCGACGAGACTACTAGTCACTCGTGCTCGAATAAATACAACGAGCAACGGGGCAAACCCTGGATCACGAAGTGCGATAAAGCCACATAGGGGCGGCTTACAAGGATCGCGGGGCTTCTTACCATCACGTCCCTAAGTCCCAGGGTCGACGGTCTGTGCTTATTCACGTGGCCTGTTTGGGACGTATGAGACCAGACACAAAAACCAACCAGGTTCTTGGCTGCGGTTACACACGCCACCGAGGTTTGAATACGAGGGATATCATCCTAATAACTGAGGTCAGCCTCGAGTCCGTGAGTCTATTTTACTCAGGTTCCGAGCAGTCTGGTGGGAGATAACATGTTCGCGACTTCCCGTACTGCTGTTAAATGGACCTGAGTTTAACTTCGAAACCGCATTACCCATCACCAGGAGCCTGGCGCTCAGAGAGAAGATTATATAGTCCATAAGGCGTCTGGTCACAGTCTTCGTATGTTGCTGCTTCACTGGTTGCTACCGAGGTAGAAAGTCGCTACACATTGCCTCATCGGATGCTTGGCTCTCGCGCATAGGTTGAAGGCCGTGACCTGGCCCTTCAGCCTTTCCAGCTTGGCAGCCTTTTTGGGTAGGCTGTGAAGGGAGAAGATATGAGAGATGCGTTTTTTCAAGTGAATGAAGGGTATTATAAATCGGTTCAATGCTGGCGCCGGATTCAGCCTGCGTACAACCCTCTCCGTCCTCGTCAGTCACGTTGCTGAAGCATCATGGAAGTGAACTCCAACAACAGTGAGTATATCTACACAGGAGTCTGGACGGATTGGTCGCATGGTCGTATCCATGGAGCAACCATCACCCTCAGCGCCCAAAACGCCGGGTTTTTGACGGCTTTCCTCGCCTTGTTCGTGAGCGTCTCGGCCGGCCATCTGTGGCGGATCATCAGTTTCGTCGTGCATCAGTTTCACTCCTCTCAGAAACCCAGAGATGCGCTCCATCACCAGCAGCAAGTCATCTTCAAGAACACCACTTCGCCCGCCGCGCTTATATGGGAGTTTACCCTTCTCTCATGGGCATGGCGTCGGAAGGCCCAGCACCCTCTTCTTCGCAATCTCCTTTTCATCGTACTGGCCATCATCTGGCTAGCTCTCACTGGTAGCGCCGCCATTCTCTCTGCGAGAATCACCAAGCCCGCGGGCTCGCATTGCCTGATCATGAGCCCTCATTGCGGACTCTATTTGGCCGGCGGCGCAGCATTCAACGCTAGTGACCCCTATCAGCTAGACGTATTTGACACGACCCAGTTACTAGAGACTAACACCGCGACTTCCTACGCAAGGGCCTGCTACGTGCCTGATGCAGAAAGACTCCCACAGTGCAACATCTACGCGCAGACTCGCCTCGCTTTACATACTACCACCAACGCCTCCTGTCCATTCCAGAGTGGCATGTGTCTGGAAGGAGACAGCGCGGCATTTACGATGGATACCGGTCTTCTCGATACTCGAGAACACCTGGGCATTAATGCACCGGACGACGATCGATTATTCTTCCGCAAATCCGCGAGTTGTGCTCCCCTGACCAGCGCCGGATATATTACTATTCATAATGACACAAACCCGTTGCCCAACTTCCCGTACTCCGACTACTTGGTGGCTGCATATCATTATGGACCGGCATTCAACGGTAACGGGACCCAGAACTATACATATTACTATGATGCCGTAACGGTGCGCGCCCGGCTGGGGTATAAAGTCCAGTGAGTACCAGCGCCCTAGCCATCGTGCTTTTCCGCCCGTCGATCCGATCCAGTCTGAATCAGTTATCTCCTCAGAGCTCTATGGGCAACCGCAGGAGCACCAGAAACCTCCCAGCTCTGGAAGCCTCGCGAAGAGCTCAACCGCACAGATGCCGACGTTTCCATCTTTTTCCTCAATGCCAACAGCGTTATGTACGAGTATCCCACCGATGACCCGATTTTTAGCGCCCACGTGTCGGCGCTCAGCCAGCTCATCACGTTGGGGATGAACACCTCCATCGCCGAATTTGACGACTGGTACACAGCGGACACCCCCACGACCATGCTCGGCTGCATCGACCAGTTCCAGATCTGCAATGCGCGGACAGAGGTCTGCTCCGCTCTGCAGGGTATCCAAGCATGGGCTAGCATGGACGGAGCGCTGGCCTTCGTTGACACCTACGACCTCAGCCCGCTACAGGCCGACACATTGGCGATGCTCATGAACTACCTGGTGCTGAACAATATGTACTACAGTATCTACGGGCGGTCGTCGTACGCATTGCGCGCCCAGGAGACGCTGTCTGGCTTGAACCAGGCCGCGCAGCTGCCGAGCAACCAGTGGCAGATTGAGGTGCAATCGTGGTTCGAGACCAACCTGGCCAAGCTACAGGAGCGCAGCGTGCAGTTTGCCACCGGGCCTCGCGGCTCCCGTGAGGGAAAGAAGCGACTGGCGCTGACGGATCGGACGCCCCTGTGCAAGGCGCAGAAGGTGCGCTGCCCCGCAGGGACGACTTCTTTCTCTGTATTGGGCGTGTCATGTCTTCTTGCAGTTGGCGGCTTTATTGTTCTCTCCAACCTGGCGCTCGACTCTATCATGGCACGGGTTGTCCCCAAGTGGTTCCCAGGTAGCGCATACCGGCGCCTGAACTGGGCGCTGGACGACAAGCTGCAGCTCCAGCGCAAGGCCTTTGAAGGGGCTCGAATCGGCCATTGGCATGGGCAAACTGCAGCTGTGCCGGTCACAGATAAGGGGGAGATGTTCCACGCGTGGGCCAATGATGAAGATCCTGCTGCAAAGAGGGATAATCTCGATACATTGGACGACCGCGCTACACTTGAATGAGGAAGAAGTTTGATGTCTGCATACTTCACTTTGGCGCTATAGTCGCTGCTATGTTCATTGTTTCTGCTGTCTGCTCTTTCTGGGAGTGTCCCAATCCCATCCCCGTTCGATTTCCGGCACTGTTATTCTAAAATATAGCAACGATCTAGTTAGTTAAATGTAAATTATAGGCTAGTCTAGTAGCCTAATATTAGGTTCTAGACCATAGCTATGGCTTGCTTGTGTTGTATGTAGCTCCTATGGCATGACTCGTTCCCGGCTAGACCCGGTGGGCATTGCAGTGAACATCTTCCCCCATAACTAATCAGTTTAAAGTCGCGCTTCAAAATACGTTGCGATGGAAAAACACCTTGCGGCAATGTATATAGGTCTATCCCCACCATCTGATTCGTTATACGAGCGCATCTCTCCTCGTCAGGAGGGTATCATTTATGCATCTACACATTGGAAATGAGGCTAAGCAGTCTATGAAAGTTTCAACGCCGAGGTGGCGGATACTTATATTTACCCAGTCAGAGGGGGGTATTCCATTGGGGATATCCATGGGCAACAAAAAATTTACTGTAAACTAACGAGTCGGTCGTACCTTGTATCATCAATTACTGAATTAAAGCCTCTACAAATGAGCATAAATGGGGGTAGCGAAACATCCAGGTATATCTTGAGCGTGCAATCTGTTCTAGTTTCATGAAGGAGCTTCATTCAAACACATTTACATATGGCGCGGGGCAAACCAATCAAGACACAATAGACGCTACTACCGTGAGGAGGAATATCTTTTGGTGTTTTTAAGGGAGCTCTGGTCTTTCATGGAGTCATATCAAGCAGATCTATAATCAGAATATTCCTCGTAATCGACAGCACGCGCTCTTAAGATTGTATCACCAGTTGCTAAGGAATTTTGAAAGAACACAGGCGAGATAGTACCCAAGTGTCTAGAAACTAGATTCTTAATACTTTCATTGGCAGGACTACCATTATCCAGGCGCCTAGGCGAATGTGAATCGAAGGGCTAATGCTAGCGTTGAGGAATGTATTTTGGGAAACACGATCAGAGGCTCTTGGGGTCGCCAGAGGACATATAAATATTTAGACATATTCCATTTGATACAATATGCACAATCTACTTCTTGACCAGCAACTTCTACACAGCCACTTCGTCGCTTGCAAGCACAGCAGGTCTGTACGCTTAGTGTACCATCAGGACCAGTCTAACATTAATAGACCATGTCTCACGACGGCCTTTCTTCATGCAATAATCAGACGTGAGCAGCACCTTATTCGTCAGGTGTCAAGACTGGAGACCTCACTTTTCAACACTGGTGTCGATAACCATTACGAACGTGTCGCCTTTAATGATCTTTCTGCTTAGTACTATAAACTATTCGCTTCCTATAGGAAGCTGCTCGCAGACTATGGCCGTTTAAATAACCCATCATCCACTGTTTGCGCTCGTTGCACCGAGAAGCCTACACTGGGGCCCTTGAAAGAAGACATAAGCTATGCCAATCACACTGTTCTTATGTTCGAGTAGGGGACTGTGGCAATGGTTCGATACGCAATCTAGATAGTACTGTATAAAACATTCATTTTGCATTTACTCAGCCCAGTAGTTGGTCGTTAAGTCAGATTGAAGAGGCACATAGAGTACGCATTCAAGAAGCAGGTTGAGGCTTGCGAAAGAGACATTGCCGGTTAGAAAAAAGGATAGGCAACTAAAAAATAGAGAGAAGACCTTCAGCCGCCCAGTAACTCACCGAATCATTGATATTTCACAATTCAAAGCCATGTTTGCGAAAAATCAAGTAGTACATTGTTATATTCAGATGCGGGATGGTGAGCTGGATGGGCGGATGGTCCGCATACCGCACTGGCTCGATGGATCCCAGAGGAGGTATTTCCTGTTCAGGTGAACATAACAGTTAAACCTGCAAAAACCATAACTAATGGTTTCCCCCAATGGATTTGGTTCGGGGCCAAGAGAAATCAAAACCAGTGTGGTTCCCTAGGCTAGGCACCGAATCCAAAATACTGCAGGTTCGGTGAGGGTTGGATTCGGTTTTTGCAGTTCGATTATGCAACTCTACTGTATACTTACTTATATTGCCTAGTTAAAAGTATTAAAGATATTTATATAATATCTATTCCTTTCTTAATCTAATTATGGTTAGATTCAGTGTCTTTATTTATTGAATTATATGACCGCTTGCCCGATTTGGAAGTGATTTGATTCCACCGAGCCGTCCCTTGGCGATAATATTCGGCGGTATTCGCCCAATATTCGGCATATATTCGTTCATTAATAAGCCGAACCCCTGCCTCTAGTGGGAGGCATAAATAGTAGCTAGATAGTCATTCGTTTAGAAGAATCAGACCTTCATTGGTTTTCAATTGGCCATATAAATTACTAGTAGTTGGCGAATTGAACTAGTACTATTGATTTCAACAAAGAAGGACCGGTCGTGGCTACGCGCTGATGGTGCCACCACCACCACTGCTTATTGCGAGCGAGCACCGCCCCAAGGTAGCCCACAGAGCGGCGGCTTGCGTCTTTTTACTTAGCACTGAAACATGTACATATCATTTATATTATAAAAGTTCAGCTACTGTACGGATAGCCAGCTTGAGTAGCCATAAAAGTCCTAGGCAAATTACTTGGCTCTTTTTAGTGGGCTGGAACCAGGGCCGACAGCACCGGCAAACCGGGGAAACCCGGGGATTTTATGAGACATGGGACACTTGCATGAACCGCATCCATGAGATCAAACTGCGTGCAGCCTTGCGCTTACGTTGACAGACATTAGAGTAGTATTGCAATCAGTACCCCAGAAAACAGGTTGTACGGGTAAAGCAAGTGAACACCAGAATGAAAAATAATAAGAGAAGGGATTTGAGGTGTCATGAAAATTGCCTGTCTTGTTTGACGGACTAGGAGTATACATGTAAATGTCACCATCACAGCTCTGTCTGTCACGAAAACTGAAGTATAGATGCTCAACCATCAAGGGCGGCTCGGGCTTGTCAACAGGATTCGGTATATGTGCCCAAGTGTGCTCTCCGTACGCAGGATTTGGACTATAGTGAAAATGATGCTGTGACAACGGCATTGGCTGGTGATGTTGAGCGCCTTGTTCTCAAGTGAAAGTCGGTGCTAGCAGTGCATACTCATACTGACTGAAGCGGTTTCTGAAGGACCAGACGGGACCAGTTGTTGACAATGGTGATAGTAGAATAGTAGCAAGAAAAAATATTCTCGCACTTAACGTCTTTGATGAGCGGCTTGTTATCAAGGCGGTCATATAGATGGATAAGCTGGTTGCCGTTTTCATCTTTACCAGTATATGCTAACAAGTCAGGAGCATCTCCACATTAATTGTTCACATTAATATTTGTGATGTAGATATCTTCCAGTTCATCTGCACCTCTTGCTGGATTACCGCCCAGTGCTTCCTGGAAAACACTTTCTCAGAAAATGGGACACGGGCTACATTACCTCCAGCCCGCGCTGCAGCAGAATGTCGTCAGCGTTGACAAATGGATTTGAGAAAACTGGATAAGTCATTTTTGGTAACATATCGCTAGACTTCAGAGAAATCCCCTTTTTAGCTCGGAGCTTGCTAAGTAGGTTCACTGCCCTATCAGTGTGTCGACAGGGCTCCATTGAAGCTCTATGTTTGATAAACTACGATCATGTTAGGTGCCCTACTTTCTAATGGGTAGTGTGCACCTCAGCGTCTTTGCTAGTCAACCGTCCCGTCTAGAGATCCGAAATCAAGCTTGCCCACATTGAAGGCTGTTTTAAAACCTGTAAGTTCTTACTCTTCGACAGTGAAGCTAGCGGAACTCTGCATCACAAGGGGGATTGGCTGCATCTCACTGTCCCCGACTAGCTCGCGTCGTCGTTTCACACAGCCTCCTCCAGCATCCTGTCCTTCCAGAACCTGCTCCTTCGACCCATATCGATGCCAGGATATCTCATTCAACTTATTCCCGAGCTCAACACGATACGTCGATCCCACTTCTAAATATGTGACATGAGAAAAGCCCGCTGCAACTATGGCCTCATCCTCATTAGTTATAACTAGCTCCCCACACGCAGCTCTAAGCCGCTCAGGGTTGTCTTTATTGTGTGGCTGGTTCCTGGGACAGGGCCATAAGGTAAACATCACTCGGTGAGGTATACCAGGCTCAAGGGTGACAAAATATTGCTCAAACTGGGTTTCGATGGGGATATGAGACACCCCACCAAATGTATAATGTTGGGTAAGGCTTGGACGCTTCGCGGAAGCGCCTGTGTCAACGTTGATGAAGTCAAAGCCATTTTCGTAGAGGGCTATGCCGCTAGGGTCTAGGAGGGTGCCAAATACAAGGATGGTAAGCGGCGTATTCGGGGTTTGAGGAAGAGTTGCCTCTAGGGTGATGTGGAACTCGTCGTCGGAACCGTGTTTGTGAAGTGTGGATGATGAGACAGTAACAGCGACGTTGATGTGGGTTGGGGGTGGACTTTGGGAGTCTCCAAAAAGGAAAAGTTTTCGAAAGAGGTTCGCCATGATGATATTTAGACGAAATTGGTTAAAAATAAATTAAGATGGTCGAACAGAGAGCTTTTATATTCGCAGGCAAGATCCTGGCTGGTGGCAAGAACAGGCAGATGCTTTCTTAAGACCTCCGCAAAAGTTAGTTAACTTGATAGCTACTACGTAGGTCACCAGTCAAACGTTATCTATGATTGGTCTAGGCCAGGAGCACCAAGTGAAAATGGATGATATGGTTTAAATCCTATATTTAAGTACCACTATTATCCTCTGAAACAGGTAAATAATGTCCAACTCCCCGCGGTTAGCAAGTATTCCTAACAATGCATTTACGATATGTTCTAGCAATGCATACTTAGTCGTGTGCCTTACTCACGGGAGTTGATAAGAACACAAGAGGTTACAAATAAGCAGACACCACTCATGGTAATGGCCTGCTGTAGGATTAGCCTCCATGGACTTGTACCGGGGGGAAGGGGGAGAGGAAGGGGAGAGGAATGGGAGAGGAGCTCCGCGGTATAGCCCTATTCCCTTCTCTCAAACGCACCAAACACTGTCTTGCTCGCAATGCCCCGTCTCACTACCAGATAAGGAACCTAGCACGTTCGCCAGGGATTCGCTTGTTATGACGGCTCCATGGGTGTAAATAATAAAGTGATTATTTCTCTTCCCCAAGAACTGAAATTGTCCAGTAGATTCAAGATTTTATTGCCTATTCTATTCAGACGTTGAAGACATTCATTGCTGGATATCCACTATCTTGGCGAATTGTTTATCTGATCTGACAGTGATGACATTTCGGTCTTTTTAATGCTGGGGATCGATTCTCATAGAGTATAAACAGCTAGCCCGCTGAACAGGGTGCCTATGTTGGCTAGAATTTGCTGCAGGCCATTGTAGTAATCTGGAAATGCAAGCTCTTGTCTTGGTGCCGATGACAACCGCTTTTCAGGAACTGGCCTGATTGGATAGCCTGCGTAGGCCCTGATTTGAAGTCTCTGGTTCATATATTTACTCGGAGTCCGGAAGAAAGAACCGTATATTCTACAATCTGACTGTAGGTTTCGCCAAAGCAGCTTTGAAGTATGTAGAGAAGCTCCAGGGGCTATAGCAACCATCTTGAAGGGCGAGAGTATGTAGAATATTCACAGGAAGTATTGTGTCTGTGAAAGATCCGTTAATGTCTGCTAAGCCCTCGATCCTCTGCTCTACAGTAACTATCTGCGCAAAAGCTCCACCATGAAAATAAAGTGAGAACAATGTGTTGATCAATAAGTGAAGATATATCCTTGACCATTATTAATACGTAGAGTAATCATCGATACCTTACACTAGGCTGCAGCTTCAATATATTGGACCAGAGCACGAAGTCAGGCCTATTGAAATCAAGGCATGTTGACGATGTCGATATTCACCACCTGAACCGTGTCAATAAAGCTCAATGGCCACTATGCGCTCATTGACTACTTTCAGGATAGTCGGTGTTCATGAACTTCTCCATGTTTCTTCTGTTTCCTTCACTGTTTTCATTTTACTGAATCTGCATTTAACTCGCTCCTTCTCAAGCTGAGTGCATCAACAACCTGCCTCACCTTCAATTTTAAGATCAACCAAGGAACCCTTTTCATCGTGTTCAGCGCCTGTCACATTATCACCTCGACTTATTAGCTTGCACGTCTCATCTGAGCATTCTCAGACATCATGTCTCACTGGGCGCTATTTTCCGGCTTTGTCCTAGCTGTCGTGTTTCTCGCTTGTTGGATTGCACGGGTTATCCGACAGGAGTAAGCTTCTCCTCCTCCTCCTCCTCC